GGATATAAAGAACCAGTTCTCCTAACTGAGCATGGTGGTATAGCTGTAATCCTTGCATTATGAGGCAGGAGGATTGAAGTTCTAGCCCAGCCTGGGTAATGTAGCAACTCAGCAAAACCACAACAAAACACAACGCAGAACAAAACAAAACACTTCTGTGAGTGTATCTTTTTACAAAAGCCCTTGATAGAATTTTCGATCTGGCTAAAAAGATAGAAATATGAGATAAAGGTGGCCTTTATTTTAAGAATGCGGAGAGAGATCCCCAGGACCACTGAGGTCTGGCTTTTCTCTCTGCTGGGCACGTGGTGTGTGGGGGATACATATAGCTTAGGTTTGGGGTGGTGCCTAAGGGGCATTCCTGATGCTCAGGTAGCCCAAAGGAATTCATTTCATGCCACAGGTAAATTGTCTAGGGGCGGAGAAGTGACCTTCTGCCTCCCAGCCTCCCACCGATGATGCAGCGTCCCATTTAGGGCAAAGTCCTTTCAGCCCTGGGCTCAATTTCCCTTTCTGCAAAAAGAAAAGAAAAAGGCACAGTCCTCTTGCCTCCCTGGAACAGATCTGAAGTGCCTTCTCAGCTTCAGAGCTTCCCAAAGGGGCCTTAGAATGTGCCTGAGACCACATGGCGACCAAACCTTTCCCTTTGGCTATTTCTGGCTTGTTCCTCAGCTGTTGATCCCATGAGCACTAACAAACTTACTGCATATTGGAATATGCCTCTCCGAATATGCTTCGTGGGGAGCCCAGCTGTGATACCTGCTATGGTTAAGACAACTGTTATGATAATGGGATTTCTGTGTTGGGTTTATCTGCTTCCACGCTAGTAAAGAGACTATCATTCCTGGTGGTAAAGATAACACAGATAGTTCCTGGTACAATTGGACTGCGTTTGTTAAATGTTTGTTATTAGTGAACTGTATATTCTGGTGGGAAGGAATCCTCTGATGTGATGTATGTGATGTGAGATAGAACACCTGGGAGGGGCTGATGGCTACCTGTACGATCATTTGATACTCTAAAGAGATCTATTCAAAGGTTGAGAATGATTAATTTGGTAATTGAATACTAAGCATGAAAATCATTACCTTGGTAAGTAAGTAAATAAATACATAAGACTAATTTTTCCTAGAGGATGGGAAAAGTCGAGGACCAGGTCTATTACTTAAATATAAATATAGCAGAATCTCAAAGAAGACTAAATTCTGAATATTGGCAAGTCTACAGTGCTAAGAGGAAGGGGCTGGGCCCTTAACATATGAACTGTAGGCTTCTGGGATCATGCATTCCACAGTCTTCAATCCCCCATTCCCCACACTCGTTGGACCTAGAAAGTGGCCTCCTCCTGGGTGCTGGTGCCCCTTTTTTGCTTGAAGATACAAAGGCCTCTTTACTGCGTTTGAGCCCCCCCAGATCAGATCCACCTTCCCTCCTTTTGCCACTAGACCAATAAATAGAATTAAGTCACAGTTTAACATAACCTTTTTCTGACAATGGAGGAAAAGGAAAATACTGGTTTGCAGGAGCTGAAATGGCTAAGGTTTAAACAACTGAAATTATTTTTCTCACAGTTTCAGAGGCCAGAAGTCCCAGGTCAAAGTGTCAGCAGGGTTGGTTCTTTTAAGGAGTCTGTGTGGGAAGTATCTATTCCAGGTCATTAATGGCTGTCATCTCCCTGTCTTCATACCATCTTCTCTCTGTTTGTGCCTTTGTCCAAATTTCTTCATCTTGTAAGGACATCCTATGTTGAATTAGGGACCACCCTAATGACTTCCCTTTCTCCAAATACAGTCAAAGTCCTGAGGGGCAGGATTTCAAAGTATGAATTATTGGGGAGAAACAATTCAACTCGTAATAGGGATTATATTTCCCAAAGAGCTGAGGACCTGGAAGGATTCACATGGCACTGAATTTTGATGGTGCTCAAAAAAAGAGGTGGGGAGAATATAAATTTGAGAAAGGGGGATTTAATTAATCCAGAAACACTTTCCTGGGATTCAGGATTTAACAGCTCCACAGGGACCCCCAAAGTTAGTGCAGACACGCTACTCAAATGTCTCCTAAAAGCATGGGAAAATGATGGCCATGTGAAATGAACTTGAGATGCCAGGACTGCTATGCAAGGGAATAGAAGAAGCGTTTAGAAAGCTCAGAAGTAAGCATGCTAGAGTGCGTGTGCTACCGAAGGCCAGCACACCCACTAGACAACATAGAATGGCCCATTTACTGAAGTAGTAAGGAAGGTGCTGTTGAACGGGGTACCAGAATCACTAACAGGTTCTGTGGTGGCTCTCCTCTGTAGATCTGGTTTGACGATTGGAGATATTGTTACACAATTGTATTTACTAATTGCAATGGGAGTAATAGGAATAAACCCCTCTCCCCAGGCCCTGCCCTCTCATAGAGGTTGGTGGCGTAACACAATCATCAGAAACCAGGAAGATACAATTAATGAATGAGCAGAAAGGTCAGAATAGAAAAGGAGGACTCTACAGAGAACTCTAGAAATGGTTAGTGGAATATAGCAATCCTAGTCATCAAAGATCAGCAGTCAAACTGCATAAGCAAAACAAATTATGTATGGCTGATGAGGAGGCTGAGGGCGGTGATTCCAATAAAATACCATAATCCCTTGCTTCTTCTACACCTGAGCCAATGGCAAATCTGGAGCAGTCGGATTGACAGAGAGGCCTGCCAATAGAAGAAAGGACCAGGAACATTATGATGACTCTATTGAGATATGATTTGCCGAATTCTTTCACAGGAAACTTACAATAATTTATTCAATAAATGCACCTTGAAGAAATGGAAATGCTGAAAGTTTCTAGGATGTTTGGATTTAGTTTTCAAATTGACATTGATACTCACAGATATGAAATAATACCAGAGCTCCCGTTAGAGTAGGGGAATATAAATGTCAATAAACAGAGTACTGACTGAGATCTGCTTCACAGAGGGCCCAATGGATCTGCAAGTCCATCTCACAGTCATTTCTCCAGTCCCTGACTGTGTAATGTATGTCTTATATGTCTCATACTTTGCCACACAATATGTTAAAGGAATGTTTCAACATGCCCCAGGCATATTTGGAACAATCCTCACAATGATTAATATATCGGAGGGTATCTGTCTCAGTGATGGTCCTCGCTGTGTTCTGCTCCTCCTCCACTGTGAAGTGAACAGCTTTGCTCTGTCCTGCCTTCTGCTATGGTGCTTCTGCTTTGGAGCTCTTTACCATGCATGGAGCCTTCTCAAACCCTGAGCTAAACAGTTTTTTCCTCCTTCACGTTGTGTATGTCAGACATCTTGTCCCAGCAGTGTTGAAACTGACCATTTCAAGGACAAAACTTTCTGGCCTTGAATTTGTGATCTTTGTGAACACGTATATAATTTACAGGGCAATTTGGCAATTTTGTCCCCCTTCCCTCCTCAGCACGGGGGATCAAACTCATACCCTCATGCTTGCGAGACAGGCACTTATACTGCTGAGCTAAATCCCCAGCCTGTTAGTTTCTTTATACTTCTGTTCTTTCCTCTCCCCTAGGTGTGTTGTGGATTCTAGATTCTTGAATCAAGAGGGACCCAGTTTCTAAATTCTTTTTGCTCCTATCTAGTTGGCACTTGTGAAGGGTCAGGAAATGCTTGTGTAGGTAACAATAACCATAACCACAGAAGAAAGATCTCCAACAACCAGAAAACCAAGCCGTCTGGTATAATTACAATCTTTCATAGTTTTTAGAATGTATTCTCATAGTCCAGAACATGCTTCTATTTAAAGGCCAAAGATAAATCTAAAATGTGCCCCCCAGAAACGTGCATACCTTATTTTTACATTTTATTTTTTAAATTGTAAAATAAATATAGGCATACAAAATGAAGAAGAAACCTTCATGTCACCGTCTGAACATACTGATTTTTAAAAATTTTTTAAAAATTTTTTATCTAAAAGGAAAAAGAGAAAAAAACAGAAAAAAACAAAACAGTATAAGGGTACAAGTAATACAGAACTACAAAAAAAAAAAAAACCAGTAAGATATCACCAGTTAATAGATTACACACTATCATTTTTGAAGCGGTTATTCAGGTCACAGGATCAAAGCATACAAAGTGAACATTCAAACAGTGAGACTGCAAATAGTTGTGTTCAGTAATCCAAACAAAAATATTAATATGGTCATCTATTCAACACACCTAAACACACTTGCTGTTGTATCCTTTAGCGCACTTTTTTTCCCTCTCTTTATTACAACAAAATTTACACATTTTGGGTTTACACAAAATTTACACATTACTGCTCCCATAGATCTTATTACTTTTTTTTGTAAGAGAATAAAATCAAACATGATAAAACAAAGCTGTCAGTCAAAACCAAGGATAGACATAGCACATGATGTAAAAACAGAGTACAAGGTTATCAACAGTGGTTACCATAATGCCTCTTGCTTCCTTAAGAAGAATTGTCTATCTCATTAGGTATTATAAAGTTGAACTAAACGTAGAGAATAAGACCAATAAAACCTAAACATTGTAAACCTTACAAAACTTTAAAAGAGGATAATAGTCAAACCAGAATGGGCATCAATGTGAATCTTATTGCCTTCAAAGTAGTTGCCTATACTCTGATACTTAAACTATCATACAGAGCGGAACAGAGTCTAATCAGTCAAAACAAGATAGTGGTAGTATTACAGGACTTCAAATCAAGTTAATAGGAAATCAAAAAAGTTACTATAATATATCCTGCTAGTTTTTTTAAATTTTTTTCTCCTTAGTTTAAAAAAGAAAAATAAAAAAAATTAAATAATTTTTTAATGAATAAGGGAGAGGTTGAGATAAAAGAGGGCATAACAACATAACAATACAGGTCAAAGCATGACAGTTTCAGCAACCTAGTGCTTCACCACCAAATAAGCCGACTTAACTGAACATACTGATTTTGATCATTTTGAATCTCTCTGGGTTTCCCGTGCACCGCCTTTCTGCAACCTTGACCTCCGCGCAGGCGGAACCTGTGCGCCGGGGGCGGGGCTGCCACTCCGGCGCACCGTCGCTATGGTAACCACGGAGGCTGAGCCCGAGGAGCGGTAAGTCCGAGTCCTGGCGCCAAGGGCCTGGGTGGGCGCTGGGTGGGCGCTGGGTGGGTTGCGACCTGGCAGACGGGCTTCTGCCTTCCTGGCTGCTTGGGCAGGGCAGAGGGGCGTGCGTTTCAACCGTAGCGTCCTCAGCCTTCGCTTGCGCCGTGAGCCTTGCGCCCCGTCTGTACACCGCGGGTGGCCTCGAGGGACCTTCAGGTCCCGGGATGCCAGCCCAGGGCGAATCCCCACGTCCATGCCCTCCCCTCTGGACCTAGGCGTTAGCGCTGCGGGCTGTCACTCTGTCCTGCCGCACAGGCCTTCCCTTTGTGCAATCCTCGGCCCCGGAGCTGCGGAGCGTTGGGGTGAAGATTCCCCTAGGTCTGGGGTGTGACAACCGTAGAAGATTACATTTTAAAAAGTAATAAGATTTGATTTTTTTTTTCCTTTTTTTCCGGAACCAGGGATCGAACTCACGACCGCTTGCTTGTAGGGCAGGTGCTCATGCCGCTGAGCTAAATCCCCAACCCAATTTTTGATTTGAAAGACCCTTAAGGATCGACTTCCTCCACCACGATCTCAGGCTGCCTTATACCACTTTTTGCCAGTTGTTTATACCGTTCTCATCACTTGGATTCTCTTTTCAGCTGCTTTCCACTTAGCCTGGGTGGCCAAAGCAGGAGGATCCAAGTTCAGACTCAGCCAATTTAGCGACTTTAGCAAGACTCTGTCAAAACAAAACAGGGAGGGGGCTGGGGATATAGCTCAGGGCCTGAATTCAAGTCGTTAGTACAGCAAAACAAACAAACAAACAAACAAACAAACAAAAAAACAAAAAAAAACCCAGACTTCTTTCACTCTTGGATATCCGAGGTGTCCCCTTTCCTGGGAAGCCCTTCAGGGACCTCCCCACCCTCAAATCACTCTGCCAACCATGGTGTAGCGCTGATGTACTGTCTTCCCCACTAGGCCTTTGTGATTGACCTACATGATTCTTTTATTGCTTGTGCCTCACCAGCCTCGAAAGCATTCATGCTGAGTAGTTAAATGGCTCTAGACTTGGTTTCCCACAGTCCCTCTGTTAGGCAGAAAAGGTTGTGTCCTCATTTCAGAAAAGTCATATAATAAATGGGTCAGGATTAAAACTGTACCTTCATGGGCATGTGCTCCCTTCATAGTTACAACCTTTCCCCCTTCCTTCCTGCCCGTGCTCATTCTCTGTGAAACTTGTGTCATGTTAGGGTTACAGTTTTGTTTCATGTTATTATTGGTGTGGGCAGAGAAAACTGTTTTTGTCTGTAACTCATCTAGTGTCTTCCATGAGCTCTCCTGTATCGACTGTTAGAATAGAAATAATGTAAACGTCCACTTGGTTTTAAAGTTAAGCTCAACTTGTTTCTGATTTCTGCAGTTGGTTTGATTTCTTTCACATGAAAATGCTTAGATTCTTAGCTAACTTCCTTGATTTCTTGAAATGCAGTCCCTAACCCAGTAGCATCAGTGTCACTTAGAAACATTCAGGTTCCACCACAGGCCTAACAAATCACACATCTGCAGGGTGAGATGCAGCTCGGTGGGTTTTACAAAGCCCTCCAGGTGATTCTGATTCTATTCCTATGGAAATCACACTTTGAGAATCATTATGATTTTTACTAAGTCAAAAGTACGTACTACAATATTTTCAAAAAATTACTTTCATTAGTATCATTACTGATTTCATCAGAAAAGTATTGGGAAACTGTTATGCTCACAATGGCCAATACAGGTTTTCTTGTGTTAGGATTTTCTAGAGAAACAGAATCAACACAATGTGTATGTGTATAAATAAATAAAAAGATTCATTATAGGTTCTTAATCCAAGAGTCAGAAAATTTAAATGTTCTAAAATCCATTCAAATATTCACAAATCCAAACAAATTCTAAAATCTGAAATACTGTTTGATTATGGATAGGAGTGTGTTATGGGTTATCTCTACTCTGCTGGTTCTGAAATTGTGGCCTGAGGAATCCATGGGGATCTCCAAGATATTTTCAGCTAATCTACCACACAAACTGTTTTCATATCAACAGCTTATTAATAGCACATCATTTGCCTTTGTACTCCTACATATTACAGTGGTTTTCTAGAGGCTGGTAGGTGATGCATAATATCACTTCACAATTGGAGGCAGAAGCAGGCTGAGAATCCATATGTCTTCTGCTAAGCTACACATTAAGGAGATTTGAAAAAACTATAAAACAATTGTTTTTGCTTTGGAAAATAGTGTGGTTATTTTTCATAAACTTTGTCTTTTATGTTAACATATAGTTATTTCTAAGGTGAATAATAAAGATTTTAAGTTTAATTTCAAATATGATATTGATAGAGAAAACCCACATAAATAAAAATTCTCTGGAGTTCTCAATTTGTAAGCTTGTTAAGAATCTTGAAGTTGAATTTGAGGACCATCATCCTTCTCAAGTTAGTTCTAGGCTGATGTAGAGATTAAGCTCCACTGCAGGGAATACTGAGAGTAGTTTTGAATATTTTGGCCTAGATCAAAAACCTAGATTTGATTGAGTTTGTCCAAATCTCTGAATGAAATTAAGAACAGACTGATCTCTAGATGTGGAATAATCTGTTATTAAGTGACTGGGGGTGGTAGACTACAAACTAACTTACATGCAGCCTATGTAAGAATACTTTATATTAAGAAAGAAGAACTAGTAGCATTATGGTACTTTCCTTTGCTTTGGGAATGATTTTGCTAGAGGACTGATGATGTGATGATGCTGATAGGACGGACTCCCTGCTGGGTGCTTACCATGTGCTTGGCACCTACGTCATCTAATTTATCTTAATTCTCAAACAATCCTGGGACTAGGTTCTTGAGTTATGCTGACAGGACAGTAGGTAGATTGCCTCTTACTATGCCACAGCTGCAGAGCTGAATCATGAACCCAAGTCTTCTTGACTGAAAAATGCATTGCTCTTGGCTGTGAAGAAAAGCAATGACAATTGCAAACCTGAGTTTAAGAATTAATGCATGACTTGTCAAGAACTGTGGTAGGTCTGAACATGGCACAAAAGAAACATAAAGCTTGACCTTTGCCCCAGTAATCTAATTGGGTAGATGCCTTACAACTTCAAATAATTAGAAGGTAATATAATATACCTGGCTGGGGGTTGAGAAAACAAGGGTGGATAGACATGGTCAATGCAATGGATTTATGTATGGAAATATGTTGGGGAATCCCATTTATTTGTATAGTTAATATGCATTAATAATTCTAATACAAATAAAATGACATAATACCATATTTGTCAAGTCGTATGCTGCAAACCATATAAAATGGCTTTTGGAGCTGTGCAAGGTGTTTTCAAGAGAAGAGTCAAGGGAATTTCAGGAAGATGGTGGTTTTATAGGTTGACCTAAATAGGATTTGGGAACCTGAAATGGAAGAGAAAAAAGCTATTCTAAGCCCAGTAGCAAGAATACCTTTGAAACACACACAGGAGTTTCTCAGTGTCTTCAAGGTCTCATGGCTGAGCCCCTACAGGGTAAGTGTTTGAAAGGCATTTCAAACATATCCTGCCTCTTTTCTCAATGTTTGGATGAATAGCTTTAGCAGAAATGTTTCAGATCATCACGGCTATTAATAGTGTGACTAAATGTCCAATACTAGTAGACATTTTTGAGAACGAAAAGTAGGTGCTATTAAGAATTATACCAGTGTAACTGATGTAACTGGAACTGTTTTGGTTATTTTGGGACATATGTCACTGAAGTTACTAACCATAAACACATATATCCTTAAAGGTCTTCTCATTGAGTTGCTGTCATAGTATCCATGATGATTATTTAAAATTAATAGTTTTTTTTCATGTTCTGGGTTGCCACCCATTTGGTGGGTCATGCCTGGCTTATACTTTTTCTATAAGGTGGAAGGATTGTATTCAACAACTTCAAAGATAAGATTTGGTCATAGTGTTTGATGGAGTCATGGTTTATTGATTAATGCAACTCCCATTCCTCATCTTTGAGGTAATACACCCCCTTTCTTAAAGATAGCATGGTCAGATCACAGTCTGGCCTTTGAGATATCACTGAAAGTTTGTTTAAACATGTTAGGAAAGACTTCGTTTTATTTTCCCCTTAAAAGGTCTCGCTATCACTGGTGTATCCTCTCAGGGATCCCCCTTCTTTCTGCCATAAACAAAGATGTGATGGCTCTTTTGATACCATCAGGCAAAACTCATGAAGGGGACAGTCTTGCACACTAAGTGGGATGAGATAGAATAATAAAATTAGCTTGATTCTGTACTTTTGACCTGCTGAGCAATTTTCATATTTAAATGTCTTGTTATGTGAGAAAAAAACCCCTACATACAAGTCAATCTTATTTTCTGTTATCTACACTCAAACAATTCCTAATTTAAGTGTCTTGTAACTCATATACATTTATAGAAGTAGTGAGAGAAGATTGTAACATTCTACCAATCTAAAATGAATATTACAATTATCTTTTCAGTGTTATCCCATTTCTTTTTTTCACCATAGAGCTAAATGGCAGTTTTCTTTTCTTCCAGCCCTCCTTAAACTGTTCTTCCATAGAAATCATGTCACAAAACTATGGACCGTGGGCTGCTGCCTGTTTTAGAAGTAATGTTTAAACAGTCACAACCATTCATTCGTATCATGCCCATGATCATTTTCATGCCGCAGCTGCAGAGCTGAGTGGCTGTGAGAGAGATTGTAAGGTCCACAGACCTAAAATATGTGTTATCTGCCCTTTACCGCTGCTTAGAGTATTTCATTTTCCTGAGGTTTTCATGGTCTTTGACATTCTCTGCAGGTTTACTTCCTCATTACTTTCTAATAGTTCACCCTATTTATTTCCTCTGAACCACCACAATCTAAAATGATCTCATTTGTATACTTTGTTTTTTGTTCATGTCCAATCACTAGAATATAAGCTCTATGACTGTGAGACTTTTCTGTTTTGTTGAATTCTCAGGATCTAATACAGTGCCTGGCACACAGGAAGGAATTCAATACTATACTAAATTATATGAGTGAATACTTAGAGCACTTGTACTCATTAGATCACTTGTTTACAGTAACTTCTGAGCCTTTGTTTTTGCCTCTGGTATCTTATTTGTGCAAGTGGGGAATTAGGCCTGTCAGATCAATCTTTCTGAGACACACTTAGTTCCCAGCACTGAAACCTTCAGGAAATTACCTACCAGTACCTACTTACTGATGATACAGTCTTAGAGTCTTTAAAGGTGTACTTCGTGCTTTTTTTTATTTTAAAGAGAAAAAACCAGTAAGAACAATGATACAGAATTTCAAAACAAAATAAGAAATTAACAATGGTTAATATATTGTGTATTGTTATTTTTAAAGCAGTTGCTCATGTTATAAGATACAGGCATGCAGAACAATATTGATCAAACAGTATAAGCACAAACTGTTCTTTTTAATGAACTAAAAGACATTGGTAGTATATTTTTTCTTTCCCCTTCTTTCTTTTCTCTTTACCCCATCTCAGTTGTTCTTTCCTTTTGAGCTGTTTCTTTTCCTTTCATGATGTCGATTGTAGATTTTGGATCTTATTTACTCTTTCAGGTTCTTACACTAGGAGCCAATCTGATGTTTATACATGTGAGTTTGATTTATTTCACTTTTGAGTATGGTCTCTAGGTTCATCCATTTACCTGTAAAGGCCTTGGTTTATCCTTATTTATAGCTGAGTAGTACTCCATTTTATAAAACTATTGCATCTTTTTTATCCATTTCTTGGTTGATGGGCATTTGGGTTGTTTCCAAGGTTTAGCTGTTACAGATGGTGCTGCTGTTAGGATGGGTGCACATATGTTGCTGTAGCATGTTGTTTTTATAATTCCTAGAAAATACTCAGAAGGAGAATAGCTGGATCAAATGGGACCTCTAATCCTAGTTTTTTGAGGCATCTCCACACTGATTTCCACAGTGGTTGTACCAATCTCTACTCCCACCAACAGTGAAGGGTTCCTTTTTCCTATATCCCATCTAGCATTTGTTATTGATTGATTTCTAGACGGTGGCCACTGTTTCTGAGGTGAGATAGAATCTCAGTGTTGTTTAATTTGCATTTTTCAAATTGACCATTGATGTTGACTAGATTTCCATTCTTTATGAATTCCCAATGACAAAATCATGCCCATTCTTCAGGAGTCACTTTAAATTCCATTTTTCCTGCTAAATATATGGTTCCCTTTGCCCCATTTCCTGCATTTTTCCTCTTTCAACTTTTCCCTCCACTTCACCAGCATTTCCAGAGTCATGTTCCATCTTGCTTCTCTTTTTAAAAATTGTATTGTTGCATCTACTTATACTGGAGACTCTATGCAGTTGCTTTTTAGCTTGACAACGTATTTCTTGATATGTATCATCTTTTGGATTTACTTTTTTTTTAGATGATATCGCTAAGACTCATTCACATTGTTGTCTACGTCTTATTTATTGTTGTGTAACAAATTACCCCAAAACTTGGTCAGTTAAAAACAGCACCCTCTCACTATTTCAGTTTCTGTGGATCAGGAACATGGGCCCAGCTTAGCCAGGTCCTCTCCCCCAGGTTTTGCCACAAGGCTGTCACCAGATGGTTGCCTGAGGCCACAGTACCTCCAGGTCCAGTTTAGACAGATCTGCTCCCAAGTTCTCTGAGTGGTTTTTGCGGAATTAAACTTTTCATAGGCTTTCACACTGTGCACTTTGTTTCTTACTGGCTGTTGTCTCTGTTCCTCAAACGACGGCCTTCTGTATCATAGCATGTGATGACTGCTAGGGGGGTAATACTAGCAAGCAAAAGCCACAGCCATTGGTACCAGTTATGGAAGCTGCATACTGTTATTAGTGTTGCTATGTCTGCATTAGAAGCAGATCACTGTGTGCTGCCCATCCCCAGGATAGGGGAATCACACATGGTTATGGGTCCCCGCAGGTCAGGCTGGGCTCTGGGAGCCGTGTAGAAGCTGCCTGCCACGTGATCTCTCGCTGTAATGTATTCATCTCAGCTGCATCTAGCATCTTGTATTAATATATTGGTTTATGCTCCTTTTCCTGGGCATTGGTTTCCCCTCAAGATGTTTTGCTGCCATGGACGGTGATACCTCAATATTCTTGTGTGAAGAGGCCATGGCACTTTTCTCTTAATCATCCCCAGTTTGGTACACGCCCTGCCAGAGGGAGCACCGTTAAGACTTGTTCCATTAATTCTGCTGGAGTTAATGATGCCCCTTCGAACCTCCCATAGCATCTCACCTGTGACGGTACCTACCGCTTGTCACCTTACAGTACACTCGTTTTTTTTGTTTTTTGTTTTTGTTTTTTTTTGTCTTTTCCTTTTTATCGGTACCGGGGATCGAACTCACCACTGCCTGCTTTCAAGGCAGGCGCTTATGCTGCTGAGCTAAACCCCAGCCCCAGTACACACGTTTTTATGCCTATCATATTTTCTCCCTGGGAGCAGTAAGTTGTTGAGGGCAGAAGATACATTTGATTGTTGTTTTTGTGATTTACAGAACTACCTACACCACACTCTTAAGGTTTCAATATCACTGAGTAAATGGATTTTGTCTAAAAATCCACCTGATTTTTTGAAATCTTCGTAATTTGCCTCCAGTGTCCCATTGATATTTTTCCTCTCTTAGAAAGGAACTTTTGTCCTTTTCTTGCAATCTTGTCCTAATGAATTTGGCTCACTTTGATGTCATTCTTCTGTTCCTGTTGAATTTACTGTTTATAGCAAACATGTAGCATTTTAGTATATACCTGGGCAGTGTTTATGCACAGTTGATACCCAGTAAACTTTATTGGCTGAAATATCTTATTTTATTATTATTTTCAAAATCTATATAAATAAATAAATACTGAAACATTTGAATAGATTCCTTTAACTTTTCTTTTGGATCGCAGGTATTTTTGGAATTAATGGAGCCAGAAGCACAGATAGAATCAGACAGTTCAGAAAAATCATCATTTTTCTCCCAGGAGGAAGAAAACGAAGAATCTCAAGAACCAGAGGAAGCAGATGTTGAGAACCCCCTTATAAAACCTGCTCTCACAGGGGATGTAGAAGGTTTGCAGAAGATTTTTGAGGATCCTGAAAATCCACATCACCAACATGCCATGCAGCTACTCTTGGAAGAGGACATTGTTGGGAGAAATTTGTTGTATGCAGCTTGCATGGCCGGGCAGAGTGATGTTATTAGAGCTTTGGCAAAATATGGTGTGAATCTGAATGAAAAAACTGCCAGAGGTATTTTGCCTTTTATTTCTCATCAGTATTGTTTATCATTATCTAATGACATTATGTACTGTCATTATGGTTGGATAAATATGATGTGCCTGTCTTATACTTTACATATATATGCGTGAAGGTTTTCATGACATATACATGTAAGTATAGTATTGTTATTGTATAGCACAGTATTTAAGAACACAGAATTTTGTGTTCATTAACTGTGACTTGGAAAGTTACTTAATTATTTTCTTTTCTTTTGGCTTTTTGAGACAGGGTCTTGATATATATATATAGCTTACGTTGGTCTTGAACTCACTAGGTACCCCAGGCTAGCCTTGCACTCATGATGACCCTCCTGCCTCAGCCTCCTGAGTACTGGGATCACAGGCATGCACCACTATGCCTGCTTCCCAATCTTTTTTTTTAAATAAATCTCTGTTTTTGATCTGCAAAATAAAGATGATAATTATATTTTATTTATAAAATGTTACAAAGATAAGTATCACAGTGCTTGGGACATATAAAATAGGTACCTAGTAAATGTACAAAATAATACTATTGTTATCTCTTTCTTTTGAAGATTTATTAGTTTTTGGCAGTCATCACCTAATTCAATAATTAGTTTTTTTTTCACAGCAAATATGATGCATGGTCATGATACAAAGTAAAACAATCACCCACCAACAGTGTAGGAGGCTTACCTTTCCCCCATAACCTTACTGGTGATTGTTTTGTTCTGACTCTTTCCATTTTAACTATGATATGCCTTAGCAAGTTCTTTTCTGGTCATGCTTATTTGGAATTCTAAATGCCTCTGAATCCGATGTCTTTATCTTTCCAAAGAGTGAGAAGTTTTCTATTATTATTTCATAATATAGATTTTCTACCCCCTTTTATTTGAAAAAATTGTTTAGTCTTTTAACTATGTCCTAAAATTCCTGGATTTTTTTGCATCTTTTTTTTCTTTTTAGTATCTGTGTGAAATAATTTCTCAGCCTTTAAGCCCTGACATTCTGTCTTCTGCTTGGTCCTGTTTATTGATTTCCACTAAGTTTTTGATTTGATTTATTCAGTTCCTGGATTTCTGATTGGCTTTTCTTCAGAATCCTTAGTTCATTGTTGTATTATTCCTTAATGTTCTACACTATTTTCCTTAATTCAGGAAGCTGTTTATTTGTGTTCGCCTTGAAGTCATTAATACTTCCATGAATTAGTCTTATGAGTCATTTGGCATTTCATCAACTTCAGTATCTTATATTCAGTTGATGATGAAAATTCATGTTAACTTGTTTTTTCTTATATGTTCTTGTGTTTCTCTAGAGAGCTTTGTGCATCTGTTGGGATGGGTTTCTTTTTCACTTTCTTTGAAGGTCTTCTTAGCATCCAGGCTTCTTTTGAGGGCTGATAACTTACCATCACTCAGAGAGGAGACAAACTGAAGTAATGATAATTGCAAAAAGACAAGCCAGAAGCCAATAGGCAGCAAAAACCAATTAAAACAACTGAAATGCAGTAAAAACCAGCTATACCACCATTACCAATAGAAAAGAAATGAGCAATAATAGAGATAAGCTACAAGGCTAAAATTAATAAAGTTTGATACCAATTATATTAAAAATGGAGGCGGGAAAGGGAAAATTGAAGAAAAATGAAAATTTAAAAAAGGAAAGTAAGATGAGGAGGAAACAGAAATGAGGTAAAAAAAATCCAATTACAGAATAAAGGGAAAGGGAAGGGGCGGTAACTCAGCGGTGTAGCCTGTGTTCCATTCTTATATAAAAAAAAGAAGGAAGGTAAATGGAATTAGATTAAACTGAAGCTCTACAGCAGTAAATAAACAAGAAAAAGAGGAAACTGTAAGAAACTGTAAGAAAAAATCCACTACAAGCCACCCCCAAGAGAACAAAACCAGACCCAAAAAGAAATGAGTCCAAAAAATTTGTTCACTTTGAGGGGTTTGGACCGCCACAGTTTCTTTTCACAACCTGTAATATTGTAATCTTCCAGGTATGGGGACAGGAAAGTCAACTGCAGTGGGGACTGTTGTGTTTCCACACCCCCTTACCAGGCTATTGTGTGTGAATGCTGAGTCCTGCTCTGTCAGTGGTATATTGTCTGTCTCAGGGCTGTGTTCACTTCACGGCTTTTAATGGCTGTGCTCCTCTCTGCACCCTCAGCCCTTTCTTCCCAGCCAGGTTTGCAACCTGCAGGCTGGTGAGGTGCACCATTTGCTCCTGAGCCTCCCCTGTGCGTGCACCTCGGGACATGGCAAATGCCCATGCGGAAGTATATCCCTGAGTGTGTTGGAAGCTGGAGAAAGCAAACAGAACACTAAATTATGTGTTGCAACTATGCAGACCACTAGCCATGTGTCAGATTCCTCAGCAAGTCTGCCTTTTCCCTGGGGGCGGGTGGGTTGTTATATGGATTTGGAAGGCTGGGTCTTGGTTCTCCTGGGCCTTGGCTCTGAGTAGCAAGAGTCCTGGTGCTGTGGCCACTTGTGTGTGAAGATGGTGCAGTAACATTGGACACTTAGATTAGAGATATGGTGTGGATACCATCCAGTTGCAAGATGGTGCCTAGCTGTGGACGCTTAGGCCAGGGTTTACAACATGGACTCCTGTGTGCAGCTTCAGTACAGTTTTGTAAATTCTGGTTAACTCTGCAAACTGTGTTTGAGGTGTGTGAGTCTCCTGTGTACTCTGCAGCAGCACTGGGCCCTACGGGGGTTCTCCAGCTTACCTTTTCCCTTTAAGAAGTCCATCGTGAGTCCAAGGTGAGCCGAGCAATGGACGGTATTGAAAAGGCAGAGTGCCATGCTCCTTTTCCTGGGGCTCTATCTTGGGCTGTTGTGCTCTGTATGGGGGTTGCCACTTGCTTGCTGTTTTTCAGTGTACTTTCTCCATCCCTGTAGAAGAGGACAGCTGTTTAAAGAATAAGTTGTGGACAATTTTTTGGAAGGGTGCATTGGCTTTCCTGTCGCTGGGACAACATACCTGACACTTGTGACCTAAAGAAGGACAAGATTATTTTGGCTCATAGCTTCAGGAGTCTCATTTATGGTTGGCTAACTTCAGGGCAGAAACAGCATGGTGAAAGAGCATAGTGGAGGAAAGCTGCTTATGTATGCAGCTAGGAAGGAGGGAAGGAATGAGTCAGGGAGGGAAATGTGACCTCCAGAGGCTCAGTGATGCACCTCTTCCAACCAGGCTCCATCTTCTAACAGCGCACTTAACTATGAACCCCTTCATGTGTCCATCCACTGAGGTGTATAGTACCCCAGTGACCCAGTAGGCATCCACAAGGCCCACCTCTGAGCATAGACGGGGGAACAATTCATATCTAAAGCATTACAAGGCCTAATGAGCAGCAGGCCCCTCTAGTCAGCCATTTTGTCGTGTCCCTCTCCATCTTTTATTTGTGAATTTATATTTTTAGGTGATTTACTAGTGATATTCATTTCTTAAATCTTAAAAATAACTTCTTTAGTATTTCCTGAAGATTGTTTTTCTAATAGCATTGGGGATTGAATTCAGGGCCTTCACACACTCAGCTACACCCCCAGTCCTTGTGTGTTTGAGATGGGGTCTTGCAAAGTCACTAAGTTGCAGGCTTGGCTTGAACTTGATTCTTCTGTCCCTGTCTCACAGAATGCTGGCATGTAGGCATGTGCCAACATAACCAGTTGGTCCTAAAGACTTTAAGAAAAATATTTTAATCAAAAAGCTTAGAATTGAGAGCATTTCTGTAGTGTTATTTTCTATTAATTAGGGAAAGACTGCTATTATTTAAGCGTGGTAGTGAACTGTACTCAATCAGCAACTAGAATTCTTGTAATCTTTGGGGGATGCATGAAACCATTGGCCAAAATTAAAAGATGTGAGTGAAGACTGCAGAGTAGGTATCTCTATAAAGTAAGAAGAGGAATGTCATTTATCCGTGGGTGACAAAGAGGAAGGTAAGCGATTTTTAAGGTGATCAGTCAGTCGTATTTGCATTCAGGTTATCCTCTCACTTTACATAGTCATTGTGAAGAATTAAATACTTTAATCCAAAGAGAGAAATACAAGATTGCTTTTTCATGCTTAGCTCTGTGCATTGCTGCTTTTGCCTGTTTGCAGGTGCCTTGTTTTGAGAGTCAAGGACAGACCTCTGAATTTTCAGTTCACTGATGGTGGAGCTCTCTCTGGTTCTGGCAAAGCTTTGGTCATGAACTCTGACTGTACTGGGCTTGTCACCAGAGCTAATTGTCATTTTAAACTATACAGACACTAAGAAAACCTTTATTAAGGGTAGGGGAATGACCATGCCTTGTGCTCAGAATTGTAGGTAATGAAGATCAGTCAGTTCAGCCTTTCAGGAGTCCATGACATAGAAGAAAACAGGTATGTAGATAATAATTACTGTTTGATAGGATGAGGTACAGCAGTAGTGCAGACTCTACCTCGAAGTGTTGGGCATGTTCAGGGAAGGCTTCATGGGGTGGGATGGCGGCACAATGCTTACATTGAGTCTTGAAGAATGACTAAGGGTTACCTAGCAAAGACAGAGGTGAGAGATGGGGTGTGGAGGGCAGCGTGGTGATCACAGTGTCAGATGCTACTATTGCAATGTTTCTGATATTCTGGGGTGCCTACTCATCATTTTAAGTAACCAAAATCGTGATTTTTAAAAATAGATAAAGTATTCTTTGGTTTTTTTTCAAATTAATTAATTTTAATTGACAGACTGTGTGGATTTACCATGCTCAACACAAGTTTTGAAGTGTGTGTAGGTTATATTAAGCCTAGCTAATTGAGCTCTGCATTATTTCACATAGTGTATCAATCCATTTTTCTTCTTTCTTCCTCTCCTCTCCTCTCCTCTCCCTCCCCTCCCCTCCCCTCCTCTCCCCTCTCCTTCCTTCTCCTCTCCTCTCCTCTCCTCTCCTCTCCTCTCCTCTCCTCTCCTCTCTTTTCCTGTCTCTCTCTCCCTCCCAGGAATCAAATCATACTTGCCAGGCATGCACTGTGCCCCTGCACTACCTTTCTGGCCCTCAGTCCATTTTCTATTGCTATAACAAAATACCTGAAGCTGAGTAATTTGTAAAGAGGTTTGTTTAGCTCTCAGTTCAGGAGATCCAAAGGTATGGTCTCAGCTTTGGCCCACCTGGGCTCTGGTGAGAACCTCTTGCTGGGTGGCATCATGGGGGCGTATGAGAGAGGAGGAGGTCATGTGGTGCGACAGACAGGCAAAACAAGGGGCCAGCCTTGCTCTTTTTATAACAGTCTTCTCACAGGAAGTACCTTAGCCTCCTATGAGTATCATCATAATTCCTTTTGATGGCCACACTCTCCCTCACTGCCCAGCCTTCACTAGGTGTAGGCTCTGTGCCTTCATTCAGTTTAGTGGGCTAACAATACCTATTTCTTGGCACTGTTGGAAGGATCAGAGGAAGTGCACACACAGTGCCTAGTGTTCTGTAGATCAGCATACAAATTCATTCTTATGCTCAGCTTTTCTTGTGGGCCATAAGTGTACCCTCATGGGAAAGTATAGTGAATTGTTAATAGTCTGTATTGCAGCCATTTTGAGTATGTCTAATTTGCTCATACCAGAATTAAATCTCAGTCTCCCTTGATGCCAGATTGACTTTGTACCAGAATGGTGCCAGCTGATGGCCAAAGGTAAAAACTTGGAGGCTGCTGCCTAAATTCCTGGACTCCTTCCTTTTCCACTGCTTCCTTTTTAAAACAGACTATTCAGGCATTTACCCACAAACCTATTCATATATATATATGATGTAATAAGTATATGATATATGATGTAATCTGTATATTATATATACATACATGTAATATGTTCCCTTCTACATACTGCTAGTCGCCACCCTTTTCTTTCTGTCTACCTCTGCCTTGCATGAGTTGGGAAAGTGGATGGCCTGCTTAACTCATTACAGCCTCAGGATACCCTTAGGATTAAATGTTGTTTCCTAATCTGGTGGCGTATTGAATTTGCCCCTCCCATCTGGAGAACCAGGGGTTACTCGAGGCTGGCTTTGTGACAGTGCTCACCACCAGGCTCCTCTGCCCGGTGAGAGTCAGGTAGGCATAAATCTGACACGGGTCAAAGAAGAACCACAAGGGAATGACCAGCATACAGGTTTCCTGCGGGAGAGAACTTCTAGTTGCAGGTTACACAAGGCTTTAGGCGGGTCTCCTACCAGGTACAGTAGTAGTGTCCTGGGAAAGGCACTCTGTAAACGTGCACCTCCACCTCCTCTTCATGTCCTGTTAGGGAAAGGTTGCTAGCGGTCCTGGAATCCAGTTTAACTGGGGACTCTCAAAACTCTAATACAATGATCATTGATTTGACTTTTACAGAATCAGTCTGAAACAATTTGAAGCTGCATCCTTTTTCACCTTTACAATTGTCCCTCGGGGTAGTCACCTCAGCAAGTATAAGAAATTTATTTTTAATTTAGTAGGTCTCAATTCAGCTTTAATTAAAATGATTACTTCCCAAACCAAAGCATACACCATTGTAGTCAATTTTTCATGGTTGTATTAACATTAACAGCAATGCTAGTTTAAGAGTTTGATGAAAATTCCTTAAAATCATAGGTTCAGTTGTTCCAAAACAGATGACCGCCAGGGAGCATGCTGTCGTCTGTAGCTGATGTTGAGGGCTCAGGTTTCTGACTCCTTGCGTTGGTGTCTGGTGTCCATCATTTATTGGCTCAGTTTCTTGGGCAAGTTTCTTAATGCTGTTGGACTTTAGTTTTCTTATCTGCAAGATGAGGGTTACAATAATTCTGATACCATTCAGTTTATCAAACTAAATGGATTTGCTGTTTGTAACACACTTCGTGGCCAACCCATAGTAATTGTTTAATATTTGATTGGGATTATGATCTCCTGCATAAAATAGTATAAAAAAGATTTGCCTTGAATTATGATGCAGTCACCTCCATATAGATTCATAAATTGCCAAAAGTGGATCTATTCTTAGTGCAGTAACAGCATACACCGGAGAACAGCCATTGTTTATGTTTGTGATTGTGTGGCTGACTGGAAGCTGTGGTTCACTGTTGCTACCCAAGCTTACAAGAAAGAACTGGTTGCTTATGTTGCTTATGTTAGAAAAGGCTGAGGAGCAAAATTTCAAGTATGGTTTCGACTTAATGTCTACCATTTGCACTATTGTAAAATTGAAAATGTTGAACCATCCTAAATTGGGAACCATCCCTAATCTATTGACCAGACCATATTCCTTCTCTTTGTTAGGGTACACACTCTTACACTGTGCCGCAGCCTGGGGTCGTTTGGAAACTTTGAAAGCACTAGTCGAACTGGACGTTGATATAGAAGCTTTGAACTTCCGGGAGGAGAAAGCTCGAGATGTTGCTGCCCGATATTCGCAGACTGAGTGCGTTGAGTTTCTTGACCGGGCAGGTAAGGAAGCTCAAACGGTATTAGCAACTGATCAGTGAGATGGCAAGTGACGATAAACATTTACAGCTTCCAACGAGCTGTCTTATTTAGAGGTAACACCACAGTCACTATTAGCAGTTATAGAATTTGCCTTTCCCCCTGCTATTTTGCTTTTGGCTTACTAATTTTTGACAATTTAATCAATACTTTCCTGTAAGGCTATGTGCACAGTACATGTTTAAGGCTATTTTCTGAGACATTCAGGCAAAGTGGACCATTCCTTAAATGTTTAAAAATATTTCAATAGCACATTTGATTCCACAGGAAATATTGTACTAGTGATTTTTAAAAAAATATTTGTTCAGAAAAAGTTAATCTATAGTGTTAATAATCACAGTATAAGTACCCTTATGGCATGGGAGGACTTCTGGTATGTAACGTCTATTTCTTAATTTGGTTGTTGGCTACACGGACACATTCATTTATGAAAATTCTTTGAGCTGTGCACTTACAAAGTTTTCACCTTCCTATATATAAATTATACTTCAATACAAAGTTCAAAAAAACTATGTGTTACTTTGAGTGTTGCTAATATTTTGCTTGTATCATGCCCACAAACCTGTAAAGTATCATTTAAGGAGAGTTCAGGAAGATATGCTTATTTAACTCTGGATGTAAGCAAACATCAGCTTACAAACTAGTACTTATTGTTATCTGAATTCATGCCTTTAGCAAGTATTTGTTGAATGCCCATTAATGATGATGTCATGATTCTTCTAGGTGTAATTGGTTATTCTTGGCTTCCAGATATTTTTGAGGGCTTGATAATCTATACAACAGTTATATAATGTTGTCAGGAAGATTATGATTAGGGATAAGCATTGGCAGAGTGGCAGTCCATGCTCTGGGGTTGTCAGAGAACGTGAAGTCAATGTACTGGGGTTGAGCTGGGGCTTAGAGAATGGATGGGATGTGAGTATGCAATGGAAAAGAACACAAGCAAAATCTCAAGAACTGTGATTGAGACTGGCACGGTGGGGGCAATGACAAGATCGCCCTACCAGAGCAGTAAGTCATAGTTTACATAAATGACATAATACAATGATTCTTAATCACACAGCTTCTTGAGATTGTTTGAATTGAAATACTAGTGTCTTTACTTGAAACCTATATGATGTTGGACAATGTGTTTAAATTCTCTATTTTTTTTTCTTGAAATGAAAGCCAGTAATGGCTAAGGGTGGTTGTGAAAATCAACTTATGTGCTGTTAAACACTAACAATACCTGTCATGGGGTCAGCACTTGAGAAATGCTGTTTTTATAATTGCGGCTAGATTATATCCTTAAATGCAAGGCGAGGCTGTTTTCATTTTATTTTGGGAGCCATTGTATTAAGTAGGGATTCTTTCTTTGGTTGAAAAGAAACCCATGCTTCTGTGGAAAACATCAGTAAAGGTTTTGGCAAAAAAAAAAAAATTTACTAAGACTCCTACAGAGCCATTTTATCCTTGGATATGTCCTCTCAATAGATTTCTTTTGTAATCTCCATATTTGACTTAACTACATTTAAGTATTCTTCTGTTTAGAATCGTCTGCCTCTAGCTGGTTCTTCGCTCTTCCTCCTCCTCAGTTTGTGTTCCTTAGAGCGTTGTGACACCTCTTTCAGGTACTCGTTCATTATTGATGAGGTGGCCAGCAGTTTGCAGATAATTTGGTCAATGTCGTAGAAGGAGGGGCTTTTCAGACCACTTTCGACTTTATCTAAAGAAGCTTGCTTTTTCAGCTGAAAGGAGAAAAACAAATGATAGAGATTTTATTCTAGTCCACATTAAATTTATGTTCTAAACATGGGAAAAATGTCACTAAAGTGTACGTATCGATTATTTATACAGAAAAAGGTTATTATAGAAGTAACCTATATATGTGTGGAAGAAAAACTTTGCTATATGGTACAGTAAGATGATGATCACCATCAAAAAACATTTAATTGGTACTTTTTATGGTTAGAGTATTCTGAATAGTAGCAAAACACTTTTCCTTTATTAACCAAACAGTCGTAGTCATTTTATTTTTTAGTTTTTATTGGTACCATATATGTTTGTGGCACACAATATCATATCTTAACCAGTCTCCTGTCTCACCCCATCCCTAGATCCTTATTTCTATATCATAGTCATTTAAAAACTAAGCAAACAACAACAAAAAAATAAGAAAACATTTATGATATCTAACTGGTTTTGGAAGTCAGCTTTTAAGCGCTCTTCAAACTATGCTGCCATCTATTGGCAAAGTGGGAAATTAGTTTAAGAGCTCTATTTTCCAGAAAATGACCCTAACATTAGAAATTAGTTTATAGTCCGTTTAAAAAGTACACGCCAAGTTTTGTACTTAGCTTTCTTAGGTAGACCCAGAAGTATTAAGAGATATCTTGTTCCAAATCTTCGCTTTATGAGGAAGCTGAGAGCAAATGACTTACCTAAGGGGACAGAGAACTTGATTTCCTTTACATCCTGCACAGTAGCTCACTAATTTCTTCAATGTGTTTTGTTACTTGAAATAGAAGGGTTGAACAAGTGATTTTAGGGACCTTTAACCCAGAGCACATTTATTGAGCATGTAGTATGTGCAAAACGCCAAGCTAGATACAGGGTATGAACAGGGAAGGAAAGACAGGGAAGGAATACTTTTTTTTTTTTTTTAAAGAAACTGGTAATTTTCTGTCCTAAACTCTTTTAGATTTTACAACTACTTGAATCATTTTTTAAATATTTAAATAATGCATTCACCTTTTTTTGGTGTTTTTTCCATTTCATCCACAGGTAGTGCATAGATAAAACAGACAGGATTGCGAAGACAGCTTGTGCTAAAATAAAAAAGAGGTGTAGACAACTCTGAAATATATCCTTGTTAGCAAAGTTGCAGCATAGTCTGTTCAAAGGGTAAGGCAGACACTGAGATGGAGCAGGCTTAACTTTCAGATAGTGAACTTCTTCTGGAAAAATTTCCCACCCAGCCTTTGTCCAGGTTGTTCCGTCACAAATGCAGATGCTGTCCCGGAAGAAGAAGATAAAAAACAGAAGAAAAATCAAGGACGGTCTTCCATTAGACATCGTTCTTTCTCAATTGGAAAGAATGTCTACAGTTAAAAAAAATTGGCCAGAAACAGAGCAGGGACATGTACAGTGGCGATTGCTATAACTTCACCAGTCATAGTGGGTTCAGTGACATCATAAAAAGCTACAGTGGGATGAAAAGGTGCCATCTAACCAATCACCTTAGGTTTTGAAAGATATTTTTTGTTGCTTTTCACTTTACTGCTAATTAGCCTCTCCAGTTTGTTTTAAATGGAGAATTTATTAATACTTTGCTAGCTAATACATTCAATCATAAAAATGTGGTCATGTTACCAAAATATCATGGGAAAAGTTTACTCACTTTTCCTTGGAGCAGATGGAAAAAGACAAGATGGTGAGGTGGAGTCATATGGATGAGAAGGAGGGGTGCAGACCTGGCTTTTAAGTAGCTTAAATTTTGGGACTAATCTATATTTACAGTATTCAGTAGTTCTATATGGGAATATGGTAAGCTCCTCTATTTGAATCTTAGTTCTCTCAGTAAAGTATTGCAGTTTTATTTAAATAGGGCTTAAAAATTTTTGTGGTAATATTACTATTAATATAATTATTTAAGTACTTTTTTGGAAGTCCTTAAGAAAATATTTTTAAAAATTTTGTAAAGTATTAAGAAGAGTAAAGCAAGGAATAGTTTGTCTATTGGGATTTTTTTTTGCTCTTTCTTTTGTTGTCTATACATTTTGATAGATAACGTTCTCTTTGGGATCAGGTGTCATGTTTTATAATTCCTTTGCTCTTCAAAAATTTTACAGCAATTCTAGGAACATACTGAGTGCTCCCAAGTGATGTGATGGTTGAGTGTTATTTTTCTGGAATTCAGTGAAAAACAACCACAATGAATCTCATACACGTAACTTTATAAAGTTCTGGGTATGTAATGTACTTTACAAAGAGTCGAATGCTTTTTTAAAATCTTTATTTTAGCAGTGTGTGTTTTACTGTCTTATTGTTTTAGATGCCAGGTTGGCTCTGAAAAAGTATATTGCAAAAGTTTCCCTAACCATAACCGACTCAGAAAAGGGACCAGGGAAGCTCCTTAAGGAAGACAAGGTACTGTGTCATGATCATTGTTCTGAAAGTGTTTTGAGAATTTGTCTTACGTCTTGATTTCTCCACTAATGTTCTAGAGGTAGGTGGTAGTCCATGCCATTCTCTTCTTTTTCCTTCTGCTTTCCCTCCCTCCTCCTCACTCCCCAATTTCTTCCATCTCTCCATTCTTTCCTTTGTAAACTACTGGTAAGGGATAGACTGATCTGACAAGAAGGGTGAATGTTAGAGCTGTAGTGCTGAATGGAAAATAATCACCAAAGACTACATGGATCGCTGTATAGCTCAAAAGCAAACAAAATCAAACTATATGATTTAGGGATACCTACATATGAGGGTAAAGCCAATTTTAAAAACACAAAGATTTTCTTTCTTTCTTTCTTTCTTTCTTTTCTTTCTTTCTTTCCTTCTTTTTCTTTTTTTTTTCTTTTGTCTTTTTGAGACAGGGTCTCACTATGCAGTTCAGGCTGGTCATGAGCTCACTTTGTAGCCCCAGGCTGGTCTTGAACTTTTGTTAATTCTCTTGCCTCAGCCTCCCAAGAGCTGGGACTGCAGACATACGCCACCACATCCAGATTTTTTTTAAAGTCAGAGTCTCACTGTGTAGCCCAGGCTGGCCTTGAACTCATGGTGATCCTCCTCAGCTTCCCAAATTCTGGGATTACAGGCCTATGCCACCATGCCCTGCTCCCTCAAAAGGCAAGAGATCATACTCATCTCTTGGAGGCAGGTGATAGAGGTTGGAGAATATGACCATTAATTTTGATATTGTCAGCATCATTGAATTGGGGCACACCTGCCATGACCATGGACACTATCTGTTGCCCCTGGAGCATTCCTCTCTGGCACTGTTCCCTTCTTCTGCTTCCTGGATGTCATGTACTAAGCAGCTTTGCTTTTCTATGTCCTTCTGCCATGATGTATCTGCCTTGCAGTCTGCTGATCATGTGCTGAATCTCCTGAAACCATGAGCTAAATTAATCCTCTTTTTAAAATTGTGGGCTTGTGGTATTGTGTTTTAATGACAAGGAAGTTGATTGATTCAGAAAATCGGTACCACAGGTGTGGGGTTATTGGTGTGACAACCTGACTATGTGGTTTGGAAGCCTCAGAATACAGCAGGCAGAGCCTGATGGGTGACAGGCTGGAGCTTGGAAGATCAGAATGCCACCAGGCATGGTGGTGCACACCTGTAGTTCCAGCACTCAGGAAGCCGAGGCAGGAGGATCAGGGCAAGTTTGAGGCCAGCCTGGATTACATAATGAGTTCAAAGATAACCTGAACTACATAGCAAGATCCTGTCTAAAAAAATTTAAAAATATATAAAAAAGGGCAATACTGTTCTGTTTAATTGCCACAAGCCACATGTGGCTGTTTAAGTCTGAATTATTTAAAATTAAGTAAAATTTAAAGTTCCGTGTTTTGGTCACGATAGCCAAGTCGTTAGTACTCAATTGCTGAATATTTCTAATGAGTGCTGTCTTGAGCAGAGCAGATGTGAATCATTTCCATGCCCACAGAAGGTGCTTGATAGAGATACTATAGAGTTTATTTTGCAATAAATAGATAGAAAGTAAATTCTTTGTTTCTGTCCCTAGAACACCGTTCTCAATGCATGCCGGGCAAAAAATGAGTGGCTGGAAACCCATCCAGAAGCTTCCATTAATGAACTCTTTGAGCAGAGGCAAAACTTGGAAGATATTGTGACTCCTGTCTTCACAAAGATGGCTACATCTCGTAAGTATTGGGTAAAAGGTAGTTTGAGTGTCAGAAAAGATGAGGGTTAGGTTCAGTGTTACTGAAGATACTGTGACTTAATCATTCAGCAGGCATGATTTGTTAGAGACCCTAACACGTGACATAGCTTCCTTTTCGTTTTAGGAATAATTGGTAACCGAATTCTTTCTATAGGAAATACCCAGTAGCAATCTTGATGTTCCCATCATCGGTCATTATGTTTTATGATTACTATGTCTTTGATTTTGAGCGATGATTCTCAAATAGCAGAGCATGTCTTCCTGCGAGAGAGGGTGGAAGAATCTGAAGGAGAATTTTCAGCATTATAATTTTGTACGTGGAGGAAAACTTACTGTGGCAATACCATCCTGAGTGTGAGGACAGCTCATGCATCAGAAGCATGGTGGCAGCCATACCTGAGAATTTAATAAAACAACAGCTTTGTTGAAATATAATTATCATACTGTAAAATTCACCCTTTAAACCCTGTGGAGTTCAGTATATTCAAAAAGTCGTATAATTACCATCATTATTTAATTTTAGTTCATTTTACCATTTCCAAAAGAAACCCTGTACCTATGAGCAGACACTGTTCTTCCCTCCCCAAAGACCTGCCAACGAATCTACTTTTGATCCCTGTGAATTTGACTCTTCTGACTGTTTCATAAATAGAACAATAAAATGTGTTGCTTTTTTGTGGTTGGCTTCTGTCACTTATTATAATGTGTTTTAGACTCCTTCATTCTGTTACTTGTTGAAGTCTTCATTCCTTGATATTGGTTAGTAATATTCCATTGCATTGATACAAATGTAATGCATGTTAGTCAAGAAACATTTGGAGTTTTTTTGACTTTTTTTGGCTATTATGAATAATGCTACTAAGTGCTGTTATATTCACATTTTTTTGTGTGACTACATATTTTCATTTTTCTTTGATGTATAAATAAAAGTAGAATGTGGGATCATATGCTAGTTTTTTATCTAACCTTTTGAGGAACTGCCAAACTTCCATTTTGAATTCTCATGAGCAGTACATGAAGAATCCAGTTTCTACATGTCTCTGTCAACATTTGTTATTGTCTTTAAAAATAGTTTTAGTCATTCTAGTGGGTGTGAAGTGGTGTCTTATATAGTTCTGATTAACATTTCCTAATTATTACTGTCTTAGTTACTTTTTACTCATTGCTGAGACAAAATACCTGATGCACCAAGTTGGGAAAGGAAAGGTTTATTTCTTACAGTTTTTGGAGGTTTCAGTCCACACTCAGTTGGCTCCAAGGCAGGGTGGCATGGCGGCTGCAAAAGCAAGGCAGAAACCAGCAAGGGAGGGAGAGACACCTCCTTCCTGCCATTACATTGCATCCTGGCTCCACCCCTATGTGGGTGTAGCACTGACATCTGAATCAATCCAAACTCTAGACAACGAACCAATCACAAACACATAATGCAACACTGTAAGGTCTGGGGGCCACTGACATAAACCATGACAATTACTAATAAACATCTTTTTGTGTGTTTATTGGTTATTTATTTTCTCTGGAGAAACAATTATTTGTGACTTATATATCAGGTTGTATTTTTACTTTTTTTTTTTTTTTTTGGTACCGGGGATCAAACTCATGATCTCATGTATTTTTATCATTTGAGTTTACTGTATATATTGTGTATACAAATCCTTTATCAGAAATATGATTCTGATATTTTCTTTCATTCTTTGAATTATCTTTTCATGCCTTTTTTTTTTTTTTTAAAGATAGCAACTTACCATGCTTCCTAGGCTGGCTTTACACTCATTATCTTTCCATCTCAGCCTCATGAGCAGCTGGCGTGCCCTGCTGATTTCCCTGTCTTTTGAAGGCCAAAAGGTTTTTACTGTGAAGAAGTCCAATTATATTCAATTTTCATTTTGTCAGTTGTCAGTATAGGACGTCAAAAGCCACTGTCTAATCCAAATTTACCAAGACTTAGTTCCACATTTTCTTTGAAGAGTTTTTATAGTTTTAACTTATATTTAGCTCTGTGATCCATTTTGAGGGTTTTTTGGTATGTGGTGTGAGGTGGAGTTTTATATTTGGATATCCAGTACCTAATATTCTTATATTCATCAAAAGGGGTCATGGGTTGAGACAGCTTCAGACATTTACCCTAGTGTAGGTAGCACTAGTGTAGATAGTGTAGACTATCAGTTGCTGTCTAATATCTAATATCTATCTAGTGAGTGTGCATTCATCAGTCTCCTCGGTCCTGAAGCGTGACGGAGCTTTAGAGTGTCTTTGTCTTTAAGGAGCCTATTACCTAACTTGTGGGTAGAACATATATACTTGAAAAGGCAAATGAAATGCTGTATATTTTCAGAGAAGCCAGAGTACAAAGAGAAAGCACTGTGAAGAAACAGGGATTGCCATCATGAAACCAGGGGGAGCATGGAGAAAATTCTAGGGTAAAAGCACGATATGATGAAAGGTTCAAATGTGGGAATAAGAACGTGATCAGTACCTATGTGACTGAGGATAGTTAAGTCTGTAGTAAAGCACAGTAGAAAATAAGATTGCAAAGTTAATTTGTGATCATCTTAATAAAAATACTGAATTGTAAGCTTAGAAGTTTGGGCTTTCTTTTGTGGGCACTATGATACGATTAAAAGCCACTGGGATAGAAGAGAAGAGGAATTAAGTAAGAGATGATCTGGTTTTCTTATAAAATGGATTGGAAGGAGAGGAGACTACAGAAAGTGGGATCAGTGTGTTCCAGGAGATGAGTAACCTGAATTACTGGTTAGATGGAATCCCATCTGCTCTGCTCCTACCACTGGCCTTGCTCCACAACTCTCTCTCTCTCTCTCTCTTTCTCTCTCTCTCTCTCTCTCTCTCTCTCTCTCTGTCTGTCTCTCTCTCACTTTCTCTCTCTCTCCTTCTTTGTAGAAGAATCACCCTTCTTTTTAAATCCCCCAGGGTGCTGCATCCCCTCTAAGTACTAAGTAAGATGTTAGATCTTGATAGAACCTGTGGAATGATCTCACATTTTGCAGTGGAGTAATGAAAATTTGAGAGGTTCAGCGATTTATTCAAAGTTACTCTAGTCTGTAGCCAAACTAGGAACAATAATACTGATTATATGAGAAGCCTTATATGTATGTATGTATGTATTATGATTATATGTATGTATGGGAGAGTATTTGACCTGATAAACCAACAACAGCAAGATCCAACTAATGGCCAACTGGTTTCAGCTGGGACATTTTTATCCTGTATCTATTATTTTGAAAACTTGTTTCATTTATTTAAATCACAAGCTAATTAAATGTAATTTAAAAATTTCTTTCCTTTCAGGTCAAGCGAAAATGCCAAATCCATTATAAACTAAGCCATACCCAGAGGAGAAGTCAAGTGTACCTTCTGCTGGACATATATTTTGTAAAAGGCCACATTTTCTTCTAATATCAGTAAAGGCAAACTGATTTGTGCCAGTCAAAGTCAGGAAAATTGATATGAAATTTATCAAAGCATTTAAGGTTCAGTCACCACTGCTGGGTTTTACCCTTTGGAGGGCTTCTGCCGGACTCTCCTCCAAGCGCAGTCCCATGTGAAGTTCACCGACTCCGTCAGGAGAGCACTTGGGTGTAAATCACTCACGGAGATCACAGGGGATCTTTAAAAACCACTTAGAGAGTGTCATGATTTTCTGCATAATTGAGAAAAAAATTTCCATTCAAATGGTGAATTCCATTTAAAAAGACATATTAGGGTTATTTCTAGAGGAAAACAATTTTGTTCTTGCTCTCTTAGAAAGAAATCTTATGAATGACATTCTGGAGTAAGGACATATTAAGAACTGTTTGGATGAGGGTCCTCTGGTTATAACTACTTCTTTTTAATGTTCCAATTAATATTCACCTGTAAATTAGACATAGTGTCTAAGTAAAACCCGTATTTACCTTTAACCTTTTTCTATCTTTAAGTTAATAAACATGAATCTGTGTAGTTTTATATTTAGAAATTTTCTCCTATTCTGTAGGTTTGGCAATACAGATCTTGTAACTGGACTCCAAGACATTTTCCCTCCTGTTTTATTTTCTTTTTCCTAAAATCTCACACTCAGTTTCCTACTGATGATTTGGAAAGTTTTTTTTTTTTTGGTACTGGGGATTGAACTCACGACCTATTGCTTGCCAGGCAGGTGCTTGTGCCACTAAGCTAAATGCCTGGCCCCTGGAAAGTCCTTTTTTCTCGTTTACTTGATCAAGCCCCTGAACCTTCTATTATTTTGGTACTTTCTGGGAAAGTTTTATAGGAAAGAAAATATTTAAAGGATATTCTTTGTTTTTACGACTTCCTCTTCTTTGTCTTGCTCTGCAAATTAGTTTTTCATTTTAGGGAAGGGGAAAAATAAATGACCAATTCAGTGATACCTTGTCATTTGGCATTGTCTCAATTGTGGTTTTGCAATAACCATTTTAAATGTCTCCCAAAGTCTTATGTTTTGAGATTTTAAAAGACATACAAGCAATTCAATTTCATTTCCTTAAGCAGAAGAACAGGGCAATAACTTTTACTCCGTTCTTTGGTAGGCATTCTCCAAAAGCTGGCCGCTTTTGGAGAAATACAAGGAAGGATACCTTGTTTGCTCTCTTTCTTTTATTCAGGGCATTTATAGAAGTCCAATGTCCTTTAGTACTGCAATAATTTAGGAAAAGGCAGGTGCCATTTTTGTTATTTCTACTCTTAATTCTGTATTTACCGAGCCTGATCTTAAATATCACATTATTTTCCAGGTGAGTATTCATGGTGAGCAGAAAAGGAGCCCTGAATTTTGCTTCAAAGATTAAGACTGCAGCACTTCTGGAGACCCCCAATAATAAGGCCATCTCTCCTCTTTATACTTACTTCTCAACATTTAGCCTCGAAATTTGTAGCTCTTGATATACTTGCTAATGCTATATTTGTAAAAGCCCTTTTAACGGCACCTTTATGCCAATCATGATACTTCTACCTTCTTCACAATTTGCTCTTCTAATTTTGTCACAAGCTCCTCTTCCTCCTCTTGCCCCCAGCTATAAGAACCTCTCAAAATTCAGTCCTGACCCTCGGTGAAGCAATTCATAATTCTCCACTTCCTTATCCCTATCATTACAAAAATGAATCCCTTATTTGGGCACCTTTACTGCCAATAGCTGGTTAGCTGTCCATGTTTGTCTCTGCATGTGAAAGAACTTTTTGAGTGTGGGAACTTTGTTACACCTAGAGTCTGTAAGGTAGTAAATTAGTAAATAATAGTTAAATGAATCCACTTTTAGTTCTACCTTTCTGCATAGAACTCACTATCTCTTCATTCATTCACAGAGCTTGCTCACCTTCCACACATGACTTCCAAACTCTGTCTCCATGCCATCCTCATGCTAGTGCCCCATTCCAACTCCCAATCCTCCAACAGGCAAGCCACACACATTCCACATCACAGCTCTGTGTGTGTCTTGTCTTCTGACTTTATTTCCTAAGCCTTCATCTTGAATGTCATGTCCTTTTTCAACCCTGTGAACCTTAGTGATTACCAAGGAATTCCTGGATCTTATTTCAAAGATTCTGTTGATGCAAGGATCTAGCATTTATTTACATTTATAGATCTATAGCTCTTTGAGAGACACAGTACTTGTTGTTATATATTGTTGCACAATATAGATATGTAGGATGGTTAAAATGCCCATATGCTTTGCATGACTTTTTGTGAACTTCCATAGAATAATTACTATTCAGAGTATGTACTAGTAATTAAAAAATGCTTCCACAGTAGTTGGAGAGGTAGTCAATCAAAGAGTAGATTGAGTACTATAATAAGTTCTAGACAGTAGTTCTTTAGAGTTTTGTGTTTCATTGATCAAAAAATATAAAAAATATAAAAGGAGGATATTGATATGACCACTTGAGAAAATAACTACTACCTATTATCATTTAATAAAAAACTTTTTAACACCAAAAATATAGGGATCTCAGTGTAAGACCTTCCTCTTTACATGGAAAAATAGTCAAGCTTTATTATAGAACTTTGTATTTGATTTTTCTCATGTGCCAAATACAATAGATCTTCTGCCATGAATCAGAACTGACCTATGGTCCAGCCTTTGAGAGCTACCACTCTAGACTGAGCAAAGCAGGCAGGTTGCTATTTATGTTAGCATAATGTCCCAAACTATAAAAGACTGACAATTATCCCAGTGTTCATTCTAATATGTGGTAGATTATAGACTTCAAGATGGCCCCACCTCCCACAGCAGATGTGCTTTGTACAGTGTGATCACAGCATTCCTCACACCGAGAGATGGGTCTCTGTTCTCTTGACTGTGCAGGCCCGTGCTGTAGGAAAAGTGGTTCTGTGTGATGTTCCAAATCTAAAATTGTAAAAAGTGATGTGGCTTCTGCCTAGTTCTCTTAAGATGTTTGCTCTTTGAAACCACATGGAAAGGCGGAGAGACCCACATGGAAATGACCTGAAGCTACAGCCTTGGCTGAGTCCCACCAAGTTGTTATCTTCAGTGTGCCAGGCCTATGACTTGAGTCATCTTGGAAGTGGATCTCCAGTTGGGCCACCGGCTAATGCTGTATACATTGGACACAAACTTTTTCTACTGAGCACTGCCAGAATTGCAGACTTGTGAGCCAAATAAATGATTGTTTTTGTTTTAAGCTACTAATTGGTGTGTTTATTTGTTACACAGCAATGTATTACATGCACATTTTAGAACCTGGGGTGAGAACAGAACCTAAAATAGGGGGCGCTGGTTTGGGGGCTGGATAGAGGCCTACACCAGGAAGATCTAGAGGGGAGTGTGAGTAGAGGCCTCCAGGACTCCAGTGGGAGTTGTTCCAGGAGGCTTTAGGAGGCTTTGGGAGGCTTCCAGGAGGAGTTTCTAGGAAAGGCAAGAAAATGCTGGAAGCTGGAGGAAATAAAGCCATTGTTATTAAAATAAATTTGGCCACAATTATTTAAGTAATGAAGTCAGTGATCCTGCTGAGACAATTTCCAGACAGCATTCCAGTGCTGCTTGGCTTCTAAAATGTAAGGAGATGAACTGAGAAAACAAATTTTCAAATAAACCACAAAAGAAACATAAAGAAGTCAGTACTTGTTTGAAAATAAAACTGATCCTCATTCTCAGCCTTTTTAGATGGAAGAAAGTTTTTGAACTAAGAAATAACTTCTGAAAAAAGATAAAATCTGGAAAAGAATTCCGAAGTTATCTGTTATGATCTTAGAAATATCTTAAGATAATGCCTCATAGAAACTTTCAGATTTTAGGTGGGCTGTCTCCATGCAGTTTGGTGTACTAGGTAACCGTGGTCACAGCTAACCCCAAATGGAAAGAGAAAAGCTCCTTCTCAGTAACTGTGTGTATCAGCCGAAGGAATCAACTTACTGGTTTTGTTTGAGTCCCATTCCCACTTCTGAGCCAATACATAGTGTTAAGGGCCTGGGAAACAAAATATCCACCAATGTTGTGTGTGTATCTCAGTCATAATCACAGAATCTGTTCAGAAGACTGGGTTGAGAGGAAGTCCATAGAGCAACCTTTTAGCCCTCAACTCTCCAAAGTTATCAAATGAAAGAGAAATTTATTATGGCTTTTTTTTTTTTTTGAGACAAAGTCTTACTGTACAGCCCAGGCTGGCCTTGAACTCATGACATCCTCCTGCCTCAGCCTCTTGTGTGCTGGGATTACAGGAGTTTGCCACCATGTCTGGCTATTAATAGCTTTTTAAAAGGAACACTAAGAAAAGATCATGGCAAACAGAAATTTGCTTGTACCCATATTTTGACTATGTGCTGTTTCTAGGTTTCAGAACAATATGTTATCCTGAGCTGACTCTACAGTTTATCCAAGTTTTCCTGAAGTGTGAGGATTTGGTGAATCTGGATTTTGAAACTTAAACTGAAACCACCAGGAGACTTACAGGGTTTAGATAAAAAGAGCCTGAGGGAACAATAGAAGGAAAGGAACCACATAGAACTGGAAGGACATTAGGCAAAATGATCAGAGGCAGGGGGAAAACTTAATGCCTGATAGAAATCAAGGTGACCACCAGTAAAAATTAGGTGAAGATGAAAACGGGGGGAAGCATTGTGAAACTGGCCACTAGACCAGTTAAGGAAAGGCTGGATGGGAATAGATAAGGAATGGGTCTCTCAGGAGAGAACCGTGAGTGAGACTTTTCCTACAGTCTCTGCCATTTGATAGGAATGGGTCAGATGGTTTAAAAGAACCATACAATTCTGCAAAAAAAAAAAAAAAAAATTGTAGTGAATATTTTGGGGGCCAGTGTGTTGATGTAGAAGTGGGTTGTTATATTCAGAGTCAGACACAGAGCAGTCAATTGAAAAAATTTTTTTTAGCAATTGGAACTTTTGCTTGTCAAAGTTTTCCAAATACCTAAGTAGTAGAGAAGACAGATAGTAGTAAGTTTAGTATCTTCCTGCTGTGAAGTTCTCCTTGGAGAACGTGCAGCAAACTTGATTTAAAGAATAAGAAGGACAGACTACAATTTTCCAGTCACAAAATAAATTCCTTGTAAGTGATCTACAAGTTGATTAGTATTCACTAAAAAATTCATACTGTATATTAGATTCAGGGCAAAAAGCACACAGCTAGGCATCCCAGGATTGGGAGTTGCTTGCGTCCCTGCTCTCTTCCCCTCATACTAGGGAATTTAGCCCAGGGCCTTTGCACTTTGAGCTACACTCTATTCCTTTAATTATTCCTTACTTATTTTTCATTCTGAGGCAGAATCTTGCTAAGTTACTAAGTTTTCCAACTTGGCGTGAAGTTCTTATCCGTCTCCTTCAGCTCCTGAGTGCTGCAATTACAAATGTGTGCCACCACGCTCAGCAAAGCAATGCATATTTTCTCCCTCAGAGAATGGTCGGCACTATTTCTTCAAATTAAGGACCAAAAACCAATGACAAATCAGAAGGAGGAAAATGGGAACGAGGAACACTGAAAAGCAGAAAAATATTGGAAGAGATTGACTGAAAATGAGAGAAGAGGACAGTGTTGAACGGTTGCAGTAGATGTTAAAAAAAAAAAAAACGGAACTATATATGTTTTGCCTTCGTGGTCGGTGTCTTTGACCATTTCAACTATTATATCAGCAAGGGAAATCAGTTAAAACAGTTGCTGTATTCAACAGTTTGATCATTAAGAAATGTAGGCTTCCCTGTAAGTAGATAATTTAGCTTCTTCCGGATTGGTGGTGGGGATAATGGCATGGCCAATCAGAACAGAACCAGGATGGCAAGAAACCAATGGAAAGTAGGCCTGGAAATAGCTTCATCGTTGTATCAGTTGGAAGTGCTGCTGTATTTCCTCAACAGGGGCAAAGCTGAGCTCGGTTCTGAGGTTTTGAGAGCCTTCTGAATTTCAACTCGGTAGCAGCTTGGGTCTGGAAGAACCATCTCTTCGCAGTTTGGAGAACTTGATTTAAAGGTCATTAATACGTGGAGTTAGAAGGGTTTGAAAATACCAGGACACGAAGAGCTCATTGAGAGACAAAAGCAGGGCTGAAGATGTAGTGTTTTGAATCTATTTTTAGATGGTCCACCCCGCCTTTATATTAAAATCAAACAATTACAGAGGGCATGAGAGATGAACTGTTGATACGGGATTCAGGACCACACCAAATGGAGACTTGGCATCAGTGAGACTTTAGAAGGCAGCTTTATTACCCTGATGGGAACCTCAGTTCCAAATCATCAGCAGTGATTGGAGTTTTCCAATCATTTATATGTTTCCAAAAGGAAGTACAAAAGGCAAATAACATACAATCCTATGATTGGTCACACACATCTTCATCATCAATTGCTAGGCAGAATTTACTCTTACAGAAACAGCAACTGAATGAGGTTATTATCATAAAATACTGAGAAACAATCCATCATGGTTTGAGACCAGGCAGAGATGTCCTTGCAGTGATAACTCTCTGGAACTTAGAAGCAAGAGAAACATTTCTTCCTGGCTGAGCTACACTTACCTTGCAGTTGGCATCTGCAGTGTCAAAGCTCTGCAAGTTTGTAGCTTTCTAAATGTGGGAACAGGCTGTGTCTCCTGGTCTCATCTTTGAGCAGTGTTGGAAATATGCTTAGCATTAGAAAATTTTCTCTGCCTTAAAACAGCTGTTACACGTTAATATTATTGTTGCTACTTTAAGAACTTGTAGGAGTTGTGAGGTTAAGAAGGAAATAATAGCACAAGTCCTTCTCGGGACTCCAAATACGTTATGTGTGCAGCTTGTGTCCTGCACCAGGGCGTCAGACTGGAGGGGACTGTGGTTGGAATCCAGCCTGTAATTCATGAGCCAAGCCATGTGTCTGTTGTCATCCTGCTATGCTGAGGAAGAGGGACATTTTATCAAATTCAGTCAGAGGCACCAATGAGCAAACTTTAACCTTAGTCTTATTTTTTGTTTTTAGATTATTCCCACCCATCTTAATTCTCAGTCTTGACTGTTATGACTCAACTTTGACCTTGCTTCCCATTTGCTTTTTTTTGAGTTGGAAGAGGCTGAGACAAAAGAGTATTGGGGTTGGAGTAGTAAAGTGGAATTCTAGAATGACGTGGACTCATGGAGAATGAGGAATCTAACATTTATACTTGCAGCTCTCCCTTCAGAATTCAGCTCATTAAATATTTATTGGAGCCTAATCTTGTGCTACACACTGTGTGCAAAGCCCTAGTAAAAGTCAATATTTAGCCTCGACTTTTAAGAAATTCACTGTTCAGCGGGGCATATCATTACCATATCATTATAACAGTGCGATAAGCAGTGTACCCTCTCCTATTTAGTAGGTAGCAGGATGAGGAAGAAACATCAACATAGCTGTTGTTCCTAGAAAATATTCTTGGAGCAAGAGGTAGAACAAGAGGTATTAATGTCAAGATGAGACTGCTCAGATCTGAGTGTAGTACAACCTTAAGTAGGGGTCTGGGTGAATTGGGTCTTGGAAGCCCTCATGTTTCTCTTTCTCGTATTATAACAGGTTCATCTACAGTAGTGAAAGTGTCAGTAACAACACACAGGACTCCAAGTTCTGGCAAAATAACTGCAAAACATGAATAGTTCCTTTTGGGCATACGAAGGTTCCACACCTGAATTACTCTGCGGAAGAGCAGCTGACTATCTTATAGGAAACAATCATTTACCACTACTTATATGTGCCATTAGTGTTTTAGGAGGTAGGTAGTTGTTTTTAAAATTTCTCTCTCCTCTGTCCTTTGAACTTTTTTTTTTAAATGTAGAAAGTGATCACAACTATATCAAAAGAAGAGGCCAATGAAATTTCAAGATGTGGGTGAACGCTATCCATCTAGGTTTATTTGATTTTAAATAGTATTGATTTTTTTTGTCCCTTCATTCAGTAACATTTGCTGAGCATGACAGGGTGGTAGGCACATAAAGAGAGTGACGCAGTCCTCCACTTCAGGGAGCCCCCTCACGTGGTAGACCAGCAAGCAAATACCTATGAGGCAGTGTGGTAAATATAACCAGAATGTATTATTGATCACAAGGAGGGGCAATCTTATATAGCCTGTCTTGTCAGGCTTAACTTGACCAAAATATCTGTGATGAGGGGATAAAATGGGCAAATAGACAAAAAGCTCTGATAATACAATTCACAGTTTATGTGGTGGATGTCATTAATCCTGTCCACTTTCTTATGACTTTTGATGGGATTTTTCTTTAAAGAAGATGAACTACTCACCTTAACTCCCAGAAGGAGTTATTCACCAATAAAGGCTTTCTAAATAATGATTAAGAATTCAAAAGATATGGTGAATGGTATTCATGCAGATAAAGTAACATATTGGATAACACAGCAACTTTGTTCCACAGTTCAACTCTCATGATTAGAGAACAGTTCCTGGGACTCTGTAAAAGAAAATTTATTTTGGGAAAAATCTCAGCTGTTCTTTCTGGAATTAGGAATACTATGAATGAACAAATAATGAAGCAAATACGCATGAAGAACTTATTAGTTTTTCATCTTTTGGATCAGGGAGTTAATTTACTTGCTTTGGGGGGGTCTTCGAAATAGTGCTTCACAAGGTGCTGACTGCTATAAGCTCTACTAGTTCTGATATGCTATGAATACATGGAGGCAAGTGGTCCATCAGTAAAGATACTGCAGAAGTATTGTGAAAGAACATTTTGGCCTTCCACATAAGAAGTATCGAATGAACACTTACTGAATTAGATTGACTTATAGCTGCGAGGCAAGAAGTACAGAATCTGGAATGCCAGTGAATGCCCTGCCTATAAACTGATATTGTAGTCTTATGGATCACCTCTGGAGAGAATGAAATGAATAATCTTGGGCAGAGTAGGGCTTCAAGGGAAGAAAATGAAGGTACCACATGCCTTTTTTTTCTTGTGTAAAGTTAAGGCAATTTTCCTTAAGGGTAGAGTCAAAGGAATTTCTGACTTTCAGGAAAATTATAGAACATACGCCGTTTTAAGTTTAAAACTAATATTTATTAACACAAGATGAAGTGTGCATGAAGATATCAGCCTGGGATTTTTTATTATTTCTCACCATTGGTCCTAACATGTCAGTGGGTAGACAAATGGGAGGATGTTGAAGTCTTTTAAAGTGGTCTTAAAATTCACCAGTGAGAGATGCCTTATATGAGGTGGCTTATACTTAACAGTATTTGTAACAACCATTAACTGTTCATCTATAAGAATGTGACACTCAGAATGCTCAAAATTAAATAGAGGGTGACTATTAAATTGTTTTAAAACTACATAAAGTATCATTTTTCTTTCAATAAGGTTTATTGTTTTAATTGACACATAGTATTTTTACATACTTTGGGGTTAAATAAAATTGGATACATGGACGTAGTGGGTAATGATTAAACCCAGGTAGCTAGCATTTTGAAATTATGAATTATATTTAAATGACATGCATTCTGTTTTTTAAAGGTGTTTTGAAGGTGATTTTAAAGAATCATGAAGTCACTGTCTTGATAATTCTTTCTCTACTGGGATCTGTGTTAGGACAACTGGCCTACTATTTTGTTGAGGTACTGTATGTGTAAGAAGTTAGTACACAAAAGCTTAGATACTAAAAACAACATGCACTTCTGTATCATCTCAAAGTATGTGAAATGGCTTTAACGTGAACAGATATTAAAGTAATTTCAATTGATATTAAATACTTTTTTAACTTCTGTTAATACACATTTAGAGTACATAATGATTACGTTCATTGTGGGGAACGGGTGCATGTACATAACACAGCTCAGTTCCTTTCTCCCTCTTCCTCTCTTTTTTGTCAGCATTATATATTCATTTATTTATCTTACAAGTCATTATAAAGTTACTTATCAGTCATACAATTAACAGCCAGGGTAACAGGCCAGGAAAAAAAAGCCACACAAACTGGGCATGGTGATGAATGCTGTAATCCTAGCATTTGGGAGGTTGAGGCAGGAGGATTGCTGTGAGTTTGAGGCCAACCTGAGCTACAAAGTGAGTTCAAGGCCAACCTGAACTGCATAGCAAAACCCTGTTTCAAAAAGAGTCTCACACACACACATACACACACACACAAACAACAACAACATATAAAACACATAAGACAATTATACTAAAACAAGGTACATTGTCCATGTTAGATTACAATAACCTTCTCTCTCTTTACTTATTGTCTGTCTTTTATTTTGCATATTGAATTTCTCATGTAAGAAAAACCATGAAATATTGAAGCTTTTGTGTCTGATTTACTTCATTTAACATTATGGTCTTGGGCCTGGGGGTTTAGCTCAGTGGCACAAGTGTCTGCCTGGCAAGCACAAGTTTGATCCCAGTACCAAACAACAACAACAAAAAAGACTGAAACATGGTCTTAAGGTGCACCCATTTCCTACAAATAACTCAAGTTTATCCCTTATTATGAAAGAGTAGCATTCCACTGTGTTTAAATACCATATTTTCTTTACCCATTAATTTGTTGATGTATATATAGTTTACCTGTAAGATTTAGCTATTATGGATTGTGTTGCCTTAAACATGGGTAAGCATACATCACCATGATACAGTGTCTTAGAAGGGGATTTTCTGGGTCCAGTGGAAATTTTAGTTTGAAGATTTTGAGCAATCTTCACTGATTGTGATAGTGGTGGTGCAGATTTACATTCCCACCAACAGTGGTTTCTTTTCCCTCGCAGTCTTGCCAGCATTTGTTACTATTTGATCCCTTGAAGATAGCCATTCTTTCTGGAGTGAGGTGTAGTCTCGGTTTTACTCAGCGTTTCTTGAATGGTCACCACGTCAAACATTTTTCCATGAATTTATTGGTTGTTTATCTTTCTTCATCTGAGAAGTGTCTTCATTTCAGATGCCCTTTTTTTCTGACTGGGTCATATTTGAAGGGTCTACTTTTTAAAAAAAGTTCCTTATATATTCTAGACATTGGTTCTTTGAGGAGTAGCTTGCAAATATTTTTTCCCATTCTGTAGATTGTCTCTTCATTTTTGAAAATATTTGCCCACACCTATGTCTTCAAGAGTTTTACCTGTTTTGTCTTCCAGCAGAGTAAGTGTTTCTGTTTTAATTTTTTTGTTTTTTGGGATAAGGTCTTACTGTGTAGTACAGGCTGGCCGTGAACTCACTTATGTAGCCCAGGCTGGCCTCAAACACATGGTGACCCTACTGCTTCAGCCACTCAAGTGCTGGAACTACAGACCTGTGACACCATGCCTGGTTTGTTTTAATATTTGGATCTCTGATCCATTTTGATTTTAGTGAACTAAATTAAAATGAACTAATCATGGAAAGAAATACAGATCTAGGCTCGATCTTCAGCATGTGGGTAGCCAGTTCCCCAGTACCATTTGGTAAAGTCTGTTTTTCCTCCAGTGAAAATATTTGGCCTTTTTGTCAAAGATGAGGTAGCTGAGTGTGCCTGAGTTGTTTCGGTATCCTCTATTATGTTACATTGATTCATGTTTATTTTTTTAAATCATAGTAGCTTTGTAGTATAATTTCAAGTCAGGAATTGTGATGCTCCCTGCTTTGGCCTTGTTGTCTAGAATTACTTTTGCTATTCCAGGTCTTTTCTGATTCTATATGAATTTTAGGATTGCTTTCTCTAGTCAGTTGAGGGATGCTATTGATATATTTTTAAAAATTTAGTTTCTATATAAATTTCTAATTTCTGGCCAAGCATCCTTCTTTTTTCACTTTTTCTTTCTTTCTTTCTTTTTATCAGTACCAGGGATTGAACTCACGACCGCCTGCTTGCAAGGCAGGTGCTTATGCCGCTGAGCTAAATCCCCAGTCCCCGCTATTGATATTTTGATTGGGGCTGTGTAAATCTGTATGACACTTTTGGATGTATGACCATTTTGACTAAATTCGTTATGATTTCCAGTAACAGTGAATGTCTTTAAATTTTCTGATATCCTATTTGATCTCCTTTTTCAGAGTACTATATCTTCCATTGCAAAAGTCTTTTACTTCTTTGGTTAGTTTAATTCCTAAGTATTTAATTTGCTTGATGCTATTGTAAAAGACATTGTTCCCCTAATTTCTCTCTTGATGAGTTTGTTATCAGTGTGCAGGAACAATACTGATTTTTGAGTGTTGATGTTACATCTTGTTATGCTACTGAATTTGGTAATTAATTCTGGAAGTCTTTTGGTAGTGTTTTTGGAGTCTTCTATGTATAAGATTATGTCATTTGCAAATGATAATAATTTAACTTCTTACTCGTCTGTCCCTTTTATTTTTTCTCTTGTCTAATTGCTCTAGCTAATGTCTTGAGAACTATACTGAACAGGAATGTGATGCAGACATCCTTGTCTTGCTCCTGATTTTACAAAGAAAGTTTTCAGTTTCTCTCCTTTTTGTATGATATTGGCTGTTAGCTTGTCATACATGGCTGTTATGGGATCGACATAAAGGCCTTCTGTACCTATTTCCCACAGAGTTTTAATCATGAATGGATGTTGGATTTTGTCAGATGCTTTTTCTGTGTCTATTGAGGTGACCATGTGATTTTTGTCCATGCTTCTGTTTATGTGGTGTATTACATTTACTGATTTGCATATGTTGAACCAAACTTGCAACCCTGGAATGAATCCTACCGGGTCATGATGTATGATCTTTTTGATGATTTGCTGTGCTCCATTTGCCAGTATCTTATTGAGGATTTTTATATGCATGTTCACTAAAGAGATTGACATGCAGTTCTTTTATTTGGTGGGTCCTTTTGTGGTTTTGGAATCAGGGTAATGCTTGCTTCTATGCATAACTTTGGGAGTTTTGCTTACCTTCTTATTTCATTCAAGAGTCTGAAGAGTGTTCGCATCAGTCTAAAATTATGGTAGAATGTGGCAGTGAATCCACTGGAACCTTGGTTTTTCTCAGTTGGTAGTTTCTTTTTAGTCACTTCATGTTCACTGATTGATATTGGATTATTAAAGGTTTTTATATCTTCTTGGTTCAGTTTTGGTGGTACATATTTATTTAGGAATCTATCTATTTCTCTTGAATTTTTCATTTTATTAGGGTAAAGTTTCTCAAAGTAATTAGGCAAAAGTTGTTGTGATTTTGCTATTTTCATTTCTAATAACATGGATTTGGTTCTTTCCTTATTTTGGTAAAATTTGTTATGGACTTGTCTAATTTATTCATTACTAGTATCAAGACATCTTTAGGAAATTTCTTTTCAGAGATGTTGTCTAGATGTGACTGGCTTTGGCTTTTGAAGCTGTCCGAGGACTCTGACTCTTCATTTTATTAGGAATGAAAGATTGCAGTCTGTTTGGCCTAGCACCTAGTTCTGTGATACTGGACCACCGCATCATTTGTGAACCCAGACACTCTACATTGGCATACATGGTAGATCAAAATTGATTGCTACGACTATGTCACCTTGGCTGAAGTAGGACAATCAGTAATAACATATCATCAAGCACAGACAGGGAAATGACACTGTGCTATTAATTTGCTGCCTTTAACCATAGATACAAGATTTATAGTTATATAACAAAATATAAGACAAACCAGAAAATTATATCCACTCACTATAATAATTTTACCCTGAAGGGAGAAAATTAAAAAGGGATAAGAGGAAAAAGTTACAGAAATAAAAGAAGAGAAAGAGATTAGAATCAAGGCTAAAGGACAAAAGATTGCCCAAGCCTCAGGAAACTGGTGAAGACAGAAAGGAAAAAGAAGGAAAAAAAACAACAACAAAATAAGAACAAACAAAAATTAGAAACAATGTTTATACTCAAGAAAGCACAAAAATAAACAATTAAAAACCCAAATGAACAGAAAAAAGAGAAGCAAGAAAAGAAATCTCTCTGTGATCTCAAGCCTGTGGTTCTCTCTGAGGTCTGCAGTTTTGTGGCCTTGCCTCTGCCCTCACCAATAGATAAAGAGGCAGTAGGAGCCCAGATTTCTGCTGCACAATTCCAGCAAGCCTACAGTAGGGTGGGGTGCTTGTGCTGGTACTTTCCAAACCACAGATGTTCAGGCTGAGTCTGGCTTCTTGCTCTGGGGTTGGGGCCTGGCCCCAGCTCTGGGTATTCCTTGCTGGCCTGACCCAAAATCTCTGACTAGGGATGACTCCTGTGGTTGGCTCTTATCTAGTCACTGTGGGTTTTTAACACTGAGAGTCCTGAGATGAAGCTAGCCAATGGCTGCTCTGAGTCCAAGGTTCAGTTGACCTGTCCCTACAGTGGCATCTGACCCAGCAGTGTCCCTAGGATTGGAGTCCCTCACCAGCTTTGCAGTGCCCAGCATTCACTGCCCTGTTCCAGTGGTGCGTTTCTCCTTGCAGGCCTCTGGAATCGTCCACTTTCACTGTACCTGTGTTGATTTGATCCTCCTTTCTTATGCCACAAGCCATGAGCTAGAGAAAAAGTGCAGAGCCCCTTCTGTTTTTTGTGTTGTGATCTGTCTTCTCAATTTCTCTTTGGACTTGAATTTTCCCTTCAGATCCTCCCTGGATTCTGGGGATCCACCTGCCTCCCCCTTTGTCTTCCCCAACTTGTTATTTACCAGTTATTTCTGGATTCTGAATATTGCACAGGTTGATGTGTTGCTGCTCCCTGCTCTGCCATCTTCCCTAAAGTCTTTCTTTCTATTAATTTTGAAAGAAAGTTTTACCAAATATCTATGTTGCGGTTGGATGTTGTCATCTTTTAGGGGTTGAAACGCTCAGCTCCAAATCCTCCTTGCTTTGAAGGTTTGTATAGAGAAGTCTGCTGTAATCTGATGGACTTACCTTTATATATAATTCATCGTCTTTATCTTAACAGCTTTTAGAATTTTGTCCCTGTGTTGGACTCCTGGTACTTACAGTATAATTTGGCACAGAGACATTTTCTTTTTTGCTTTTTTTTTTTTGTCTTTTTCATTTTTATTGGTACCAGGGATCGAATTCACAACTGCCTGCTTGCAAGGCAGGTGCGTATGCCGCTGAGCTAAATCCCCAGCCCCGAGACATTTTTTTTGGTTGTGGCCATTTGGGGTTCTAGTTGTCTCACTTGTATGTATGTTTATTTCTTCTCCTTATTTGGGAAATTTTCTGCCAATATTTTTGTGAATAAGCTTTTTAAAATGCCATTTGTGCTGCCTTCTGATTTTTCAATTATTATAATTGTTCTTCGATTAGTCTTCTTTGTGTCATCTAGTAGCAGTTCGATCTATTTTTCATGTTCTTTTGTTAGATTAATTGTAAAACACACATCATGTAACACAGACATAAGAAAAATGGATTCATTTATTAATTTGTGATTTCAATTGCATATCAATGAGGCCAATTAATCATTTGTGTCTCCCCTCATCCCCAAACTGCAGATTGAACCCAGCTTCTGCTAGGTAATCACTATACCATTGACCCACACTCCTCTACCTGCCACTGTGGTATTTTATTTTTATTAATTATCTTTATTTTTTAATGAGAAATTGCTTGCACTTATCTGGGTTGTAAAATCTTCTTAGTCTTCTGAAATGCTATTATTCCTATTAACTTCTTTTGCCAAACTGTCTTTTTAGTGCACTGTATTTATTAATTATTCATTAACTTTTGAGTTCATTCATTCATTCTGAAGGGGACCAAATGGAAATTGCACTCTATTTGCATTTATAGATGACAACACTGAGGCATAGAGAGGTTACATAATGAAGGTGAAACTATTTCCAATTGAACTTTTTAGGAAGGAATATTTGTAACACCTCTATCACTGTTTTTTCAATCAATCTATATATGGCCTTATTTATGTCTTAGGTAACCAACTATAATATTATATAAGTATTATTTTTTTCCCACTGACTGCTTTTTTCAATCTTAAGCAAATTTCTGTGAAACTACAAATACCTAAAAGGTTATTTTCCTTTCTTAGAGCGAATTAAAATAAACATCTAGTAGTCAAAAACTAAAAAAGTACTTATTTGTGAATCGCCCAAAGTTATCTCAAATTTCATCAGAGGTCGGAGTACCATTTATGAAAATACTAATTACAGGTCACAAGTAATGTTTATGTAGCCAAAACCTGCGCAGTTCTCTGGCCAATAGAACTATATAACTATCCATTTGAATGGTTAGATTAGGAAATCTATCACAGAACTCTTGAGAGTGAGATTATCGTGTAGATGATCTTGAGGTATCTTGTAGATAATCTTTCATTATTTACAAATGAGAATATTCTAAAGTTTATATTGATTGGCATAGCATTGACTTGATTTCTGTTATGTGAAAATGGCAATAATGCATTTCTTGTTTGCCTTTGCTATTCTAGGTGCATCGAGTTGTTTATCCTCTTCTAAGAACACCAAGTTATTCACTTTATTGCTGTTTTATACCTTTAATTACATTTATGGTTTCATTGGATTTGGACTTTCATATACTCAGGAATGTGTTTTGGCAGGTAAGAACACATTCTAAAACAAAATTATAGTCAGTGCTCGCTTATTTATGTTTACAGAAAATACGACTTTGTATGGTAAAGAAGATGTGTTTTTTTAAATGCAATGGAGTACTACTCTGTTATAAAGAAGGACAATCTTGGGACATTTCTAAGTAAATAGATGCTCCTTGAGAACATACTTATAAGTGAACCAATTGGACACACATGTGCAAATAACCACATTGTTTCTCTGGTATGAGAAACTGAAAATGTAAATAAGAACTAAAGTGTGTAATAGATATTGTGAAATAAGAAGAAAATGTTTAAATAAGAAGGGAAAACAAAACAAAAACTAAAACTAGAAAAGAGTGAAATAAAGCTGCAGTGGAAAGTGAAAAATAAAGCTGATCTCATAGAAGTAGAGAATAGTGGTTGACAGAGGTTGGGAGAAAAAGCTGGGAGAGATTAAAAAATGTTGGTTAATGAGTACAAAAATATAGTTAGCTAAGAGGATTAGATTATAGCACAGAAGGCTGACTATAGTTAAAAATAATTTATTTTATATAATATTTTAAAATAACTGGAAGAGAGGGTTTTTTGTTTCCAACATAAAGAAACTAAATATTTGAGGTGATAGATTTGCTAATTATCCTAATTTGGTCATTATACATTGTATACTTCATGCCCCATAAATATGAGCAATTATTGCATCAGTTAAAAAATATAACCCAGGTCTGATTCTTAGGACACAAGTAAATGCAGTGATGCTATGATTGGACCTTAAATCTAAAGCATGTTATATTTGCTTTGCAGGTCTCACTAACTGGGTTGATCAGCATTTTTGCTGAACTTATCGTGACCGGATACGTGGTAGTGAGATTCAATGAAAATTCATGGGATTTGCAATGTTGCATATTCTTTAGCATTGCTCTTAGCATTATCGACCCTTTTCATTCTGCAAGCTCACTAAAAACTATTGGTATGTCAAATTTGTCTCTTTTCCTTTCCATAAAACTATGAGGACACATTATCTTCTTTTCACTATATTTTTGTTGCATGGATTGTGCAGTCAGCAGAACAGGATTTAGTGCTTTCTTTCTTAAGGCTGGAACATTGATTGACCTGAAGGAGTTAGAGCAGATAAAACAATCACTAAAGGTCTGACATATATAATATTAATTATATCTCAAAGGAAGCTCTCAGGTGGAAAATGTAATCTTGTTAGAAGGCAACGAACATTGGCATTCTTACTCTTTGCCAATGAATTCAAAACCACAAGGCAAAGATTCTAAACTGGTGAGTTTGTTTACTGATAAAGACCTCTATTAAATCTTTTCAAGGCCTTATTATCTCTTGTTAAAATGGTCTCCATTTGAAGGATCTGAGAATGAGCAGCTGGTGGGGTTTATTTGAAAGAAAAGAGGCAAAGACATAGTCTGGCCCCCAAATGTATTCATTCAAATAGAGGATTATTCTTAACATGCTTTGAGGTTTTGTATTATTATCCATCTTACTCGGTAAGGTAAAATGTGATTTCGCTCTGACATACCACTGTGTTTTCATGTTTTATAAACACAGCACTAAAAATACTAAATAGTTGGCTTCTATGAGTTTCTGTATCTGACTCAAAATATCTTTCCCTAACCAATTTTAAAGTATTGGTTGTGTTTGGAGTAAAAATGTTACCCTATGGTTGTGATGAGAAATTGCCAACCTTTTCGGCAAATGGTACTTGTGTTTTACATTTATTTCATGTACAGTTGGAAATACATAGAAAGGATTTAGACACTTTTGGTGGTGATGTTTTAAATCATTGAAAGGTAGTTGTATTTCTCGGCATCTGCACCTGTGTTGTTTGTTCTCCCAAGTACAACTTTTTCCTTCTTTTCTTTACCTGGTATTTTTCTTTCAGCTATTTGTATTTGGAATTTGCTTTCTTAACCTCCTTTTTTTCTGCTTCCTTTTTAAAAAATTTTATTTAAAGAAAGACTAAACAAAACGGAAAATGTGTAGAAATAATACACATGTTCAGAGAAAAAATAAACAGTAAGAAATCACTAGCTGATGTTTACATACTGTCCTTTTACAAATAGTTGTTCAAGATACAAAAGTGGAACATATAAAGTGGGAATTTAAATAGCGAGACTGCAAACAGTTCTGTTCAACTATCCAACAAAAACTTAGTAACGGTTGTTAATCCTATACACTTAAACATACATGCAGTTATCCATATCTTCATTTATATTGAGGTTAAACAAACTAAAGCGGGCTAAAATCATTCTAAACAAAGAATAATAGTATTGCTGGATATCACATCATGACACTCTGGGATCAGCACTAGGTACTGTAGTGTCTTTTTAAAAAATGTTATTTAAAGAAAGACTAAATAAAACAGAAAATGAGTAGAAATAACACATACTTTCAAAGAAAAAATGTAACACATACTTTCAAAGAAAAACAGTAAGAAATCACTAGTTGATGATTACAGATTGTCCTTTTACAAACAGTTATTCAAGATACTAAAGTGGAGCATACAAAGTGGTGATTCAAACAGTGAGATTGCAACCAGTTCTGTTCAACTATCCAACAAAAACTTAGAAATATGGTTATCAATCCTATACACTTAAACATACATGCAGTTATCCATATCTTCAATTATGCTGAGACTGAACAAACCCAAGCAGGTTAATATCACTCTGAACAAATAATAATACTATTGCTGGGTTTCACATTATGACACTCCAGGATCAGCACTGGGTACATTAGTGTCTCTTTTTCTTCAAAGTATCTGTTCATTTCATCATGTGTCATAAGATCAGTTCTCATAAACAGTTTATAAGTTCTACACATGCATGAGTCTTAACATATATATTTATCCTTTCTATATCAGAGGGAGAAACAAAGCAAGACTAAACAAAACATATTCCTATAAACACGTGAAACAAACAAACAAAAAAAAACATAAGACCATTGTACAAGGAGTTCTATCATAGTTCCTGTGTTGTCTCTTGTTATCTTTAATAGAATTGGCTACATCATCAGACATAGTATAATTGAATATATCAGTAAATAACAGTATTAATAAAAACACAACTTTGTATATAGTTATTCTATTAAAACTTCAAAAACTGGCAGTTATCAAACCAGAATGTATATCGTAGAGTCTTGTCATCTTCAGTGTAGTTGCCTATACTCTCAGACTTGATACTATCAATCATATCAGTTTTGAATAAAATTTGTCGATACCAACCAGCAATTAAACAAACCAGATTTAACTAAGATCAGTCATGATAAAACAGTATAAGTCATACAGGGCTCCAGATTAAGATAATAGGGAATTAAAGATAATTACTGTGCTATATCCTGATGTTTTTGGGATATCTGTCTGTGCCCTCAAATCTAATGCAAGTAGACAAACTGAGACAGAATAAAATCTATCAAAAAAAGAGAATAAAATTTATCTAAACAGAGTGGTGCGAGTAATATGGATTTTAAATCCTGATGCACTGTTAATAATATCTTCTGCCATCTTTTTAAAGACTCTCCCTCCCCTTTCACTTGCCCAGGGTACACTGTGCATTTTTGGGTCTGACCAAGACCCTTGGTTTTAAATTGGGGGGAGGGGCAACCTGCTATTTACCTAAGTGGTTCTGAACCTTCTCTCTCCTGGACTTGATCTCTAATTGTTTTCATTTACCTATTAAAGCCTGTCTTGCCAACTTATCCACAAATACTGGTCTAGTTGCCCCTATTACTCTCTGGTTCTTTGTCATATACAGCATTGTTTTCTCATATTTGATTTTCAGTCCATGTACGCTTTTTCATGTTAATTTTATTTCCTATAGATAGATCTTGGTGGACCCTGCCTCCTGATTTACTCTACATGTGGTTCTTTTTTTTAAAATTTAGTGTATCAAGGCCACCTATGTTAGAGACTATAACCAACCTTCTCTGTCTCATTTCTGTTACGCCCTTTTTTTTTGCCATCAGTTGTCTGCTGGGCTTCTTCATTCTGTTTTCTGCTTCATTCATTGAGGCCTCTCTGCCACTGTTCCTGGAGTCCTAGTACTTTTCTCTCTCTCTAGAATGCTCTGTGATATCCTCTGCAGATTGGGGTGGGTGGTTGTGAATTTCCCAAGTTCTCTTTGTCTTGGAAGCATCTTGTTTCTCCATTAATTTCTAGAGACAGTTTTTCAGGGTATATCAATCTGGGCTGGAGGTTATTTTCTTTCAGGGCTTGGAATATTTTGCTCCAGGCTGTTCTTTTTTTTTGTATTTTCTTTTTTTTTTTTATTGGTACCAGGGATCAAACTCATGACTGCCTGCTTGCAAGGCAGGTGCTTATGTCACTGAGCTAAATCCCCAGCTCTCCAGGCTGTTCTTGACTTGATGGTTTGTGTCGAGGAGTCTGCCATTATTCTCATGGGCCTTCCTTTATAGGTTACCTGTTTCTTATCTCTAACAGGTTTTAATATTCTGTTCTTATATTGAATTTCTGGGATCTTGATTATTATATGCCTGAGTGTAGCTCTGTTTTGGTTGTAAGTGGCTGGAGTTCTGTATGCCTCATATATCAGAATATCATTTCCTTTTCCTATATTTGGGAAGTTTTCCTTAATTATTTCTGTCAATAACCTTTGTAGTTCCTTTACTTGTAACCCTGCTTCTTCATTCACATTCTTTATTCTCAAGTTGTAGATCCTCTTGTCATCTTCTAGCCTTTGTATTGTTACTGCTTGTTTCCTTGTTATTTTTAAAAAGTTTTCTCTTTCATAATCCCACATTGCAAAACTATCCTCCAGTTTGGATAATCTATCCTTAGTTTTCTTTCAAGCAGATTTGCCATCTTTCCATAGACTTTTTAATTTCCTGGTAATCTCTTTGAATCTGCTTCATGTATTCTATATTTTTTAAAATATTTTTTATCAAATGGTACTCTCCTTTGTTTGAGCTCCTCCCTTCTTCTGTCTGTGTCTGCTTGAGGGGCTTAACATCTCTTTTATTAATCTTCTTATATCTTGCTTTACTTGGCTAACTATTTCACTTTTGAACTCTTCTATGATGTCCCAAAGATCTCTTTATGTCCACTGGTGCTGTGTCTGATACTGCATGTTTACTGTTCTCTCATTCTCCTTTGTATTTACCTGTTCTGGGTCAATGTTCTCAGGGTTGGGACCTGGGGACTTTTTGTTGTTGCTTCCTCTTCCCATCTTTTTTGTTTCTTCCAGGAGGCCCCAGTATCTTTCTTTGTTGGCTACAATTCTTCTGAAGCATGCTGGCTAGATGACCCTTCCCACTGCAGTTTGCTAGTGAGTTGCAAACAGGGGCAGCATATGCTGGCCCCTCCCCTCTGGATCAGTCAAGATGCTGTAGCCTGCACTGTATACTGTGCGCCGCCTCCCCTCCAGGTCAGCCAAACTTCTGAGGCTTCACTGCGTTAGTGTTTGCCACTGCCATAGGGAATTGATTTCAGATAACCTATTTGGTCTCATCCAGGTCATGTGACCCAGGCCTGGCTCACTCCAATGATCCCATTCGGGGAGGGAACAACTGACTGAAGTCACTGCTGCCCCTTATACTTGACAGTCCTGCCCAGTCCCAGAATGTCATCCACTGGAGCCCTCCTTTCTGTGGAATGGCTCCACTCCCGTCACTCACCACAGGTCAATGCAGGCTCCCTGCCAGCTCAGCTCTCCATTCGACTGGCTGATCCCCGACCTCAGTGTGACTGCACCTCCAGTGAGTCAAAGTGGTGGGACCTCAGTGGCTCAGCAAATCACCTGCTGTGGTAGGAGTACTGAACCTTTAGCTGTTCCAATAATAGCACTGAGACTGTATGTTGATTGGTTCTTCTCACCTAAGTTTCTTCTTGGGACGAGAGAATCCATCTCCCTCTGTTTGGGGCTCCCCATGCTGTATTATGTTGAATTCTAAGTTGACTATCTCAAGGAGCCTCTGTAGCGAGCTGTTATCTATCTA